AACAAGTGCCCAGTTCTTTTTAGAGCTGTGCTACTAATTTATCACTAAAGAAAAGTGATAAGTGATAGAGATTGATGATTATGAATACGATAGTTTCAAGGTTGGTGCTGGCATGTTAAAGCACTCTACAAGAAATATTTGAAAATAGAATAACCAAGAAAAAGAACTAAACAACTATCTCAAAACCAAAACAAGGCATCATCATCAAAACAGTAAAAATAAAATAACAAAAATCGCTGAGAACAAAAGCAAAACAAAATCAAAAAACGAAACTCTGAAAAAGGAAAATTGTCTTTTCCGTTGAATTGTCGTCTTCAGAATAAACAAACCTGCAGAGATTCATATTGCTCAGTCGGTAGCTGTTTTTCCAGGAGACCCATCCAACTATTCAGAGGTTTCGGCATGAACTCAGAGTTTTCTGGAAGATTCCAGCTACTCATCGATGTAGCAACAAACCTTATTACATGGCTTTTTAACTCCCCTTGGTTTTGCCCTTGCCTTCAGATAAAATAATCGAAGAGTTTAAATAATAAAATTTACATTGAATAAGAGAGATGATAAGTTTTGGGATCGGTGAAGAAATGAAAGCGTCAGCAATGGAGCTAAAGTCTGCGGAAAATTGTCTGAGAGACTTTTCACTCATTTTTGACACAGACAATGTTTTAACATTGGATCAATTCATCGATTAAAATTGATGAATCGATCCTCTCAGGGGCCTGTGTTGCAGATATACATCTAGCACCACTCAAATAATCAATTAGATTGCACATTTTCATGCTGATAAACAGATACATGCCCTTGACTGGCTCCTTTAAATCAATTTCTTGGCAAAGACAAGACGAAAACATTTCCTTCATGGAAAATTACCCACGAAATGGTATGATATTTGTTAATGAGTCGGCAAATATTATAAAAATCATACCAAACAAAAGGTTTTTCACTCGGGAAATGTAAAATAACCACATACAACTTATCCTGCCCCTTTCCACTTAAACGACCCTCATTCAGCGATTTTTCCATGTAGAATGGCATACTCTACAATAAATTATGAGTGGAAGAAGGATTGTATAAGTTTATCCAACAATATGCAGGTCACATCTAACGGTCTAGGAAGTTAGATTCGTTATGTCATTAGCAAAAGTAAAACTAAAATTGGAGAATAACCCTTCTCGGCCAAATGTGTTTAACTGCTGCCAGAAAACTATCCAATCCGAGAGGTAGCCTCAGATTCTGTGCCATCCCATTCATTCAACTCATTACCTAGTATCTTCATCTGTAGCCAGAGTAGATTGATTGCAAGGGTGTACTCTTACCACAACATGCATTACCATAAAATGCTTAATTGGCCGACATCAAGCGGATAATATTGGTATGCTCAAAAGATGTCTTATGTTCTCAAGTTAGCGGAATCCCTGTTGTTAGTTCAGTTTATCTGTGACTAGCTCTTTCTAGCAACCAACCTTCATCTGTGCCTTTTTCCACTATGGTCGCCAGGCTACTGCGCGCCTCTTTAACCTCCTTCATTTCAATCTCTATCTTCTCAGTTGTGTGTCTGAGTTCGTGTCTCATCTTTTCTAGCGAATCTGGAAATGTAAGAGAAATAAGCGCAATTATATAAGCACATTTACGTCACACATTTACGTTTAGGTGTTAATAAAATAATGATCATTTCAGTAGAATCATTTTTAGGAAGGTTCAGTTGTCAAAGTTCATAGACACTGGAGCTAAACAAATTGGTTCATCTACTGCATTGTGAATAACTATTCCATGCTAAAGATAACTAAATTTCCAGTTTACATAATTGAATAGGACGAACACATCAAGAGCTAGCCCACCCTGCTGCTTAAACTAAAATTTGTCATTTTTCTAATTTTTGGATTCATCCATACTACCTTCAATTTTTTTAACTTTCGATCAACTTTGTCTTTAAGCCTTCGTCGTCTTTCCTCCATTGTTTCATCAGGTACTTATGATGCTTCTCGACAATCGGATCCATGTAGTCGTGCTCAAGATCGTCGATTTAAGTTCTAAAATGAGATCTTCCCAGTCTCACCAAAGCTTCTCCTATATCCTGCCAGTAAGCACTGAAACTACTGTCATCCACAGAGGCTTGAGAAAAATGGCCGTATACAATATAGTAGTAGTCCGAGCAGCCGACAAGATAAAGCGCGAGTCAAGAGTTTATAATTTACGACCAGTTTTTGGTATATTTAGAGAAATAAACTTATTTTTTGGTATTTGTGGTAAAGGTTTGTTATTGAAAGTACCCGACCATCAGACCCAGATATTAATATGATAAGGGACGGTCAAGTAAGACGGTCCGACCAAAGCCTATTCAAAAATGAGCGTTCGGTTAAATGTAAAATAAAATGGGCTTTCGGTATAATTTAAAATAGGATGGGTCTGCTTGGCGTGCAAACGAATACTTTATCAAGTCTGGGAAAACTCACGTCAACAAAATACTATTTCTCCATTAACGATCTTTTTCTGTTGACATCTTATGGCAAACAAGCACACATACACCTGTAAAATGCGGAATCGATCGAGCACCGTGCAGAGAAGAGTACGACGCATAAATTATGAGTGATTATGCAATCGGAACCATGTAATTACTCAGTAGTTGTCACGCAAGATACGGCTTCGTCGAACTGCGTTAGCCTTTAGTTTCAATTTTCAGCAATCATCAAGAGTGACTTTTAACCAAAAGACAGACTGCATCAAGATTATCAAAGCACCCAGTGACTGGGTACGATAGTTGAATAGAAATCCGCCTTGCTAAATTACACTTGGCCATTTGTTGTTCAACTTGCACCACTTTTTAACACAATATTCATCTCTTGAATTGACTGTAATTTCGTACTCTCATTTCCAATATGTAATCGGTAGATTTTTAAGAATGCCAGGTTGTGAAAATGGTAACAATAAGGGGAAGATAAATTGAATGCGTGATAACTATCATTACCAGCGTGGTTGCCGGTGATTACCAACAAAAATTACCAAAATCCCGGTTTTGGATCCCGGGATGGAGTTTCTCGAGGTTGTTGTGGCGCTTGAACTGAGGGAGTTAAGATTTTATTTCGGCGACGTGTGTTAAAACGTTGCTGTTCCGTTGAATTCAAAGTAAAAACGTGACTAAATAGCTGTCGAGGTTTCATTGCTAAGAGAGCGTAAAAGTTATAGTTCTATATGGGACGGCTGGGAAATTTACAATGCTTTAAAACACACGTGTTTCGCCATTGTTTTGCTCATGTGATCTCTTTAATTTATCATTATTGCAGATTCACCCCACTAGATTCCAAATAGACAAGAAATTAAATTTATCACCACAACAAAGAGACGTTGTGGAGAAGGAGACAACCAAAAGCGCCCAAAGGGATGTCTTTCTAATTAAGTCGTAAGAAAAGTACATACAATTATATAAAAATAAAAGTTATTATTCTTAATAAATTTAAAACATTCTTTTTCAAAGCTGCAATACCATTTGATTCTCTGGTATGGTTAGGTAAACTATTCCATTCATTCATTAGCTCAGATCCAAGTCCCGGAAAGAGATTGGAAATCGCTATGCAGTTGCATAAGGAGCTGGTCAAATCTGATTTTGTACGACAAATGATGTTTGGTGAAATATCCAAGTCCCTGTTCATAACCGTTGACATTGTTATTGTTTGATTCATAACTGGATTCCGAAAGAAAAGTTGCTGTTAATTTCTAATAAACCTTTTTTTCCTTCGTAAGTGACAATGAAGAAGCCAATCAAGTGAAATCTTATCTTCACTTGAGGAAACCAATGTCGATAGACGAGGCACAACGCACGAAAAATCTCGCATAAGCGAGAACTGGAATTGCACGTGCGAGAGACGAGGAGCGCGTTGCAAGACACGAGAAGGCACGCAAGAAGCTAAATATGACTCCATGACTGTCTTAAGGGTTTACAGTATAGTTATGACTGTAGTTACGGCGTTAGGTTGGGTTATCGCTGTAAATGCTCTGAAATCCTGTTTGAAGTTGAACGTAAAGAAGAGAAATTTAATCGTTATGAAACTTGGCATCAGTTGGACCAGAAAAAGGCTGCGGCCTAACCTCCAGCGAAGTACCATTATTTGGAACGTTTCCAACTCACTCAGTCCAGACTGGAGTCTTAAAACTTTGAAATCTAGATTTTCTCATTTTAAATTTTAATCAGACGGACTTCTGCAATCTATCTCAATTATCGACTGCCCTCTAAATGTAGGGAAAAGGCATACTACTGTAAGTGCTGTTTATTCCATGCATTGCTGAGATCATGGTGCTATAGAGCCTAAAGAAATATTCTGATCGCACAGTGTGATTTAAACCGTGATTGAATGTGCTATTGTTTCATTGTATAAAAATTACCTCGATTACGTTTTAAAAGTATTGATGTATGAAGAATACTCTGAATAGCTCGCTAATTTACTACAATTGTACATAGTTTTCATTCAGTTATACATACAGATGGTACGTGGCAATAAAATCTTTTTGTCAGTCCATTAAAAGAAAGAGTAATCGAATTTATGTTTCGAGCCCCTCTAAATGAAGTTTCATATTGGTGATAGTGTTTTGTTTCCCGAAGACATGTACACTTTTGTATAGTTACGATAACTTTTCACGGTGTAATGTTTTTTCTTTAAACCCCTTGTCATTTGGGTTGTTTTTCTTTTCATGTGATACATTGGAAAACTAATATAATAGAACCTCTGAAATTAAATCTAAGCTTTTGAAGTTCACATTGGATAAATAAGACTGAAGGAAGCTCTAGTTGGCCAATTTGCATCAATGGTCTGTATGCCTATGTAGTCATTCTGCAAGGCTGGGCTTTTCACAAGGGCCGATCAAAGTAACTGTAAGGGCTTGCCATTTTAACCTGTAAACACAAAAATCAGAACACTGTGATTAAACGACAAGGGAGAAGATTGAGGGCCCTAGGTCAAAAATATCACTATAAGACAAAAATTACATTTAGTTGGAGTAATGTATTGCGCTGTACCTTGCACGGGTTGAAGGCTGACATAGTGCACCTCATGAATATGTCCTAGCACAAGAGGTTTGTTTTCGTCAACTGGAAAATGTGGCGTAATGACTACATCATTGCTATTGGATAGACTGCTGACCACACGAATGCACGTTTCAAAGTAGTTTGCTGCGGCCCACAGAATCACGTGATCACCCCAAGCGCCATCTTGTTCCATGCATACGAGGTATTCAGTCCATGTTTGATGTCCATGGACGAAGTGAAACAGATCTGTTCCATCCGGCTGTAAGAAAGATCAGCGAAAGAAGGAAAATTAAAAGGATTGTTGATAGGAACTTGAGCGCGTGAAGTACGAGTCAGGGAGTAATTTTGTCGGAATAGTACGAGACGACCGTTAATTGGCAATTTACTGTATAGTAACAAATTTGAGGATTGAACCGTCTTTCAATACCTCCGTGTATATTCCAAAGATTTTATAAACAACAGGAAAACAATAAGAGAGATCCATCATTGAGAGAATGACTATAATTTTGTTATCTGATGTAGGTGTCAAGGAACTTTTATGAAACTAAAATATCCAAATGACTTAAAACCATGGAAGCCTCCTTCTTCGGACACCACACTAAGTGATGGATTAATTTCACTTTAACCAACATCACTGTGTGGCTTCTTCAAAAATAAATTAAAATCTTTCAAGTTCCCCTTTCAACCAGGGGTACAAGCTAGTATCAGAGCTCCTGGAAAAGGACAATAACAGTACTTCTGGTCACTTCACGTTGTGAACACTGGGATAGGTTCTGGTAGTGTAAGTCAAGTGGCCTGTTTTATCACTACACCTTTATCGTACTCCTTATAATAACATCACGTAAAAAACTCTGTTAGAAATACATACATCAACTTACAAGTTTTGGGTTACTCCTGAGGTACTGGACTAAGTTCTGTCTTAATTCGCCATGTGGGATTTTGATTCCCTTAACAATTTCCAGTTGTTCGGACAAGGCATAGAACATGCAATTTCCTAATCCTTGATTGTCAGATATTCTGAAGCCCCTGTCTGATGCAATATTCCTCAGCCCCAATGATAGATCTGTTCTGCTCTTGACTTTGCTTGCATCGAGTTGTATCTGCTGAAGTTCCTGAATGATTCGGTCGAGAGAACCTAGAAAAGACAAGGTTTTTATTAATCTAAATGCATGAAAAAAGGGAAACCATCGTCTAGTGGAAAACAATCCTCAACCTACTAAGAGAAACTTTGAGGTAAAAAGGAAAAGAAGGGTTTCAACCACCAGACTACCGCTGTTTTCTCCAACAACCCAGCCTTAAAAAGGATGCTCCAGCTGTCAATTAAGTAACTTTTTAAGTTCGATATCTGCTCGTGAATGAATACACTGATAATTAAAAGAGAAGAAGCAGAGAAGAAAAATTAACGACGAAGTCTGTTCTCTGACATATCCGAGTAACTGGAAAAAGGAGTCCAGGAAAAAAATTACAGGCTTCCAAAAAATTAACTGATGTGTTTTCTCTATCTTATGAATATGTAGTTACTTCAACATTGCGTCGAAAGACAATTGTATTGTGGATAGAACATAGACCGGTTTTGATAGGAACAGTATTTAAACTTTAGTTTCGTTTTGAGACAAAGCAAAAGAATGCCCCAAGTCTACCTATTTCGGGCAATCTAGGGTAGTTTCTAATTAAAATTGGATGAAAACTTCAAATGACTAAAAGAAATAAATAACACTAAGCCAATCTGTCTGGATCAGAAAGTAAAAGAAAATCAAATTTGTTCATACACGTCTTATGTCTGCGACCGAAGAGTGCAACAAAAAAATGCGTCATTCGTAGGAAATATGATCAACAGTACTTCACAAAGTTTTCACGAAACATAGCTGGCCTGAAGTCGAAAGTAAAGGAAACTGTTAAAGCTCCTTGCAACCTGCCTGTACTTCTTTGGGGATGTCAATTATCGTGTGTTATCACTATTTTATTACTCACTTGGGGTCATTAATGAATCAACTGTTAGTTGTTCGGTTGACGTGTCAACAACTTCGACCTGCCGAGTTTTGAAACCTCTGTCTCGTCTTTTAGAAGCTAAAAAGATAGAAAGCAACTTTTATTTAATATCACAGCAATCAACAAGAGGATAACACAACTGATTACTATTCATGTTTAACATATTTTTTATATGAAGTATTCATGCTTTCCATCACAGTAAATGAGAGGCGGAGTAAGCCGAGTAGCCCCCTAAAACACTTTTTGAAGGACATTCAAAAAACATTCTCACCATGAACTATGTCCCTCATCTTCTCCAAGAGAATGTCACACTGTTTCTCCCAACTAAACTTCTCCTCATAGGAGCTCCTCAGTTGCTGAATATCTTGAAGTCGAACCGATCTTTCCCTCTGTTGGATGCCAGCAATTGCCTTTGCCCACTCCCCAGGGTCCTCAGACTCCACCACGAATGATTTGCCTGATGGTACGGTGCACAGTGCTTCACCAAATCCTGAGTTGCCGCTGACAAGAATGGGAAGACCAGCAGATAACGCTTCTAACGCCGTCAAACCAAAACCCTCTGTTCTGGAGGGCATGATGCAGAGATCAACTTCACAAAATAGTTCTTTCAATTTCTCTTTGCTTTGAACGAACTTTCTCACGATCAGCTGGCTTTTATCAATTCCACTCTTCAGCAAATTTTCTGCAACCTCATCCTGTTTACCGTCAGGTGCACCCACGAATATGAGACTGTAAGACCTGTCTTTTAGCTCAAATATTGCTCTGGCAGAGATATCGTAGCCTTTAAGACTAAAGTCCTCTGGATCACCACGGCCGAACGTCAGTACCTTGAACTTGCTACTCTCCTTTTCGGCCTGTTTTACGTCATAGAACTCGCGGAAAGTTCCAGGAGTCAGTTGAAGGATGTCTTCCTGACTCTTGCATGAGCGGAGCTGAGCAGAGAAAGCGTCTGTTAGCTTTGGTCCAACTGCTAGCATAGCATCTGCCAACTTGCACAACTCCACTTCAGTTAAATTCTTCTCTTCACCTTTGGAAATAGCCTCAGGATAGTTTTTGTGCATTGCAAGTTCTTCGGGTACAGTGTGCACCACCTGAATCCACTTACAATTGTGAGAATTTCTGATAACTTGGGCTTGCTTACCAAGCTTTGCACCATGACCCAGCACAAAGTCAATGTCAAGGTCTCTTGGTGGGAAACTCAACCAATCAAGAGGATCACTAAAGCCAACCAGTTTCTTAGCTTCCTGGATGGAAACATTGTGACTTGATGCCTTTCTCCTCTCGTCTTCAAAACAGGCAAACTGTGGGACAAGGAGAGTAACGTCCACCTCAGAGTGTTTGGCCAAGTGAATGGCAAGCTGTCTATTAATGGTGGACAAGCCCCCCATTGACGAACTCCACTCACTGCCCAGGAGAGTCACCTTCAATGCTGTGGCAGACTTCATTCGATTGATTTGACATGCTTCACCATGTGATCTATCAGCTACATTTGAAGAGGACAAACCCTGAAGGAAAAAAGGGTCAAATAAAGTTATAATAATTGCATTAAAAAAAAACTTTGGGTGTGATCGTAAAAAATTTATGTTGATTAATACTTTACCAAGGAAAAGCACAAAAGTAAAAAAATTCAAAAATAATTCTGTCTTTTCAGAAATTCTCTTACTTATATTTGAAAACACAAAATCCCGCATACCATATCTTGATCAATTGTGGTACGGAAGACCCACAACTCGCGACAGGCAGATGGAAAAACTTACAAAAGATTTAAATGCTGCAATAAATACAACTGCTACACTCACACTACATTCAGATGGAAAAATATTGGTGCAAAATAGTGAGTGCATCATAGAACAAAACAAACATTCGTGCAATGTCACTAAGTCTTGAGTATGAATACAATTTGTGATGCAGTAAATAACATTTGATCTGCAATATTAGCAACCGCAGATAAGAAGCCTGAAAAAAATATCTGGCTTCCACCAGTGCACGGGCTCGAATCCCGTCGAAGCTTGAATATTTATTTGGAGCTTCCTTTTCTGCAAGGTTCATGGCTTTTTTTGAGCTTGAGTACTGTTATATAACAGTATGAAAGGCTGCAATACTAGAGAAGTGCTAAATTTAGAAAAACAAGAAGGCTGAAACTGTCTACAAGTAACCTTAGGTGCACCCGTTAGTGTTTCCAAAATGTTAAGACTGTCTCAAGTTATCTTTAGCATAACTATGCACTATTAACTATTCTTCTTTCTTAACGGTGACTTGTTGAGAGATGAATAAAATTAAAGCAATTATGATAAGTATGGTTATAAACACTAATGTAAAAGCCGGAATAGTATCATTTTTTAACCTTTTTTTCCGCACAGGAAATCCATGGATAGAATTTCTCGACCTGAATTCGGTTATCCACAGCGGCTACAGACTTGGTGCAAATGGCCTGCGTTTCATCGCTCAAATCTAACTCTGAAATGAAGTGAAGGCATTCTTCTTGCTTACAACCTTCTTCGTAATGGAGTTGACAGAGACTGATCGTGCGTCCACGGGAACAAACATGACATAAGTAGCACACATCACATCCAACGTTCTTCACCCAGAAGAACTTGTCCCAAACTTGATTAATAATCGAAGTTAGCTGGCTGCGGAATGCTTGAATTGAGGCCATATTCACCATATCAATACCTCCATTAGCACTGACGACAACCACCTCGATTGTGGAAGAATGGCAGAGGAGAACCAAAGAGAGACCTTGATTCGGAAAGTTGTTAAATCTGGCAAAATTATGAAAAAGTTGTGGCAGAGCAAAGCGGGGAAATTCTCTGCCACACCACAGAAGAAATTCTAGTACAAATCGTGGAAACAAGCCTGGAGGGACCCGACCTGTGTCAAATTTGATAAAAAGTGATGGAATTTTTGCAGATTCAACGAGATTACTTATCTCCTCTGGTGGACGCGTTCGCAACATAGAGGGCACTATGTACTGCTTGTCGGGAAAATCTTGTGATGATGGCCAAGGACACAACAAGCTGAATTTTTCCATAATTGCAATTAGACTTTCGTGGGCTTCCCTCTGAGGAATCAAAGAATTCCAAACATGTTTGAGAAGTTTTTCCTCCAAGATTCCTTCTCTCTCGAGTCTTTCCCAAAGATGGGCAAAGTTTTTCTCTTCGTGAAAGGTCCTGACAGTTATTACATTCTTGAACACATCAATCAACCACTGAATATCCAAGAAAACTAACTCACTTAATTCTGGACTGTCATCAAAGTGAATCAGAACTCGCAGATCGTGCAAAAAGTTTAGCACTGTTTGTATCTCGTTGTCGTTAATGTTGCAGTCTTTGGAAGCAATCTCTTTCGCTGTCACAAGAGAGATAAACTTGTAATCACTTTCCTTAGGGATGCGAAGGGCCTTTTCGTATTTCAACCACTTAATCGGAATAGCCTCAGTTACGTGTGGTAACTCTTTAGAAACGACACGTACGCCATCTCGCAAGCGCACGATTTCTTCACATTCTGGTTTTGTGCCTGACTTAGTGTTATCAACACAAAACACATCAAACAAGTGGGCACCATATGGCTTGGTCCTTAGATCGCCAAATATTTCTTTGGCCAGTTCAACCGGATCACGTGCGCAATAGGGCTGATCAGCATGTGTGCACACCAGGAAAACAGCGGGAAATTTCTTAAAAGGCAACACCGTTTCAGGGTCCTCTAAAGCAGCCAAAGAACTCATCCAGAAGTCTAAATAATCGAAATTCGTTTTCAGATTGTATTTATCTGCATTGAACATTTTGTGTACTCCTTGCTTCACTAATGGTGAGGCTTTGTCGCTTGGATTTCTACTCAGGTCATAAACCAAAAAGTAGATTGCTCTTCTTGTGAGAAAAAGGGGGTGCGTCACGTAATACACTGACTGTCCAGCAAAGTCCCACAGTATGGAATAGATGTCTTCTTTATCATCTTCCCGGCTGTCTTCTTTACCATCTTCCCAGTTGTCTCGAAGGTGCTTGGGAACTAACTTTGCAACATCTTCGAAATCCGGCAATTTTTCCCGCGTGGTGGCAAGCAGATCCTCATCTGGTTCTAATTCTGTAGGATTTCGTACTTCCTTGGTTGGTAAATGAGGTTCATCGTCAATGGTATTGGTTGATACTGGATTTCTAGGTGGTTCAAGAAGGTCTGCGTAACTTTTAGTCTCATTGGGTTCCCTTTCCTCTGGGGTGTCAGATACTTCATAGCCAGCTGACTCGGCTGAGCTTGTTCTTTTGACTTCAGCTATTTTTTTTTCATGCGTCGGCAATTTGTCTGCAATCCACCGTGCTGCACTATGCTCAAATGAAGTAATTGTAGTGTCAAAGCTGGACTCCTCGTCTTTTTCTCCTGTCTTCCATATTTCGGTGGTTACTTTAAACTGATAACGATCGACCTCAATTCCCAGGGTGCTATCTTCATCGGGGTTGAAGCAAATCCCTTTCAAAGACTTCTTCACGCTGGTTTTACCAGACCGATCTTGTCCAACTATCATCAGAGGCACTCTCTTGACACAAGCTTGGCCTTCCGCCAGTGCATTGTTGTAGGCTTCTAAAGCTTGAGGACCGCGCGCACGAATCTCTGGAGGAACTGTAAATGTGACAATCGAGAAACGTATATTAAGAAATCCCAACGATCAAAATCGAATTAAGAGTGAATCAAACAAACAAGAAATCGGTAACATGTAAACAAACAAACAAGAAATAGGTAACATGTTAACAAACAAAACCAATTAATCAACCAACCAAGTCGAGTTTTATTCTAAATACAAATAGGTTATATCTCCTCAAATTCATTTGATGGATTAAGTAATGAGGAGAAATGATTGTTATCAATGGCGTGAGATTTTCCCTTTTAAGCCCACAAACTTGCAATTATTCAATGCATCGAAAAGATAACTCCATGTTTCTTCTGTACATGTGTAGGATCGATCTCAAAAAAGAGAATTACTTTTACTTGCATTGGGGAAAAGGGTTGTTGTCTGATTATAACTGAAATTTAAACTTCTTTTTTTTACGTTTTATTTAAATCCTACAAGTCAAGGTCTGTATTTTCTTATGGGAACTGTCGCGTTCTCGACTGCAATTGCGAATCAATCAAAATTAACAACATTGTTTACATTTACGGAAGCAAAAGTGTACTGTAAACAACAACAGATGTTGTTGAGTTTAACTTGGCTGGTGGTAAGTATCGGTATAATACTAAGAAACCAAATTACAATAGAAATTTTGAAGCTCAGGAAACTTTCCTTTTTGTGTGCCATTTGTAGACTGAGACAATTATTCATTAATTTGTTATTACAGCAATACCGCGCAAGTCTATCCCAGAAATGTATTATTTTTGTCAAAGGAAAAGTTAGAGTCGACGAAGTATATTCGAGTTTCAGATATTGCGTACCATAATCTATGACTTCATTAAACTGCAAAGAACCCGTGGATGAACAAAGAACCAATTCGCAGGATTTAACCAAGTTAGCTAAAGGTAATACTGGATAGCGGAATCTGGTCTGGTGTTCAAATCCTCGTACTGAACTCAAATGTTTCTCTCTGTCTTACGTTCGTGGTAAAAGAATGGCAGCTTTATTAATTCATTTAATCGCCTACCTTTTCCTTTAAATTTTTTCTTTGTCATTATTATGACGAATGTCCAGCGACGATAATTCAGTTTATTTCACTAAACATAATTAAAGAATAGACTCAGAAAAAGTCAAATTTTCTATTTACCTATCCTTTCCAGCCCATTTCTCATTATCTTTCCGGCAACAAAGCCTTGAACTTCTTTGACAAATTCAAGAAAATCGGGTAACTTGCTGACAATCATCTCTGCTTCCCACTGCCCACTCCTGAGTAGCCTATCCCACTCGTCACAATGTAGATGTAGATCAGTCTACAGAAAAGAATGAAAATAAAAAGGATTCATTATATAACCAGCTGCTTCTTGGATAATGTTAAAAGAAACCTCCTTGCTTTCATTAAGCAATGAGGACTCGGTTTGTCTTTATTTAGTAGTCAATACCGATTCTCTGGATCTTTTATCAGTCACAACAAGGCGCCACGATCGTTCCCTCGATAGAATTACACTGAAACCTGGTTTGGACTTGTACACGATTCGTTTGGAAAACCGCTTGTGGGTCAAATGGTATCCTTCTGGGATCTCTTCCGGGAGTTTTAGTCCAAAGGAGTCGTCTTCCTTCAAAGTCATCTCAGAAAGATAATCTGCCAACACGTGTATGACATCTTCTTTGGGTACATGGTCTATATCTGTGGTATTCCCTATTTAAACACAAATGCACACACAAACTGCGAACATTAACAAATACAACAAAACTTGATTCTTCCAGAATTTTTTTTGGCAACGATCATTTTGAGCAGTTTTCCATGAAGATTAACTTGTACTTTTCATCTCCTCCACACGTACGGAAAATTCATAATTTACATCATAGGAGGGTCTCATGCACTCGAGTGATGGCTTTTACGGCTTACGGATAAGATTACACAAATTTAATGATTAATTTTCATTTCTCTAAAACTCATTTACTCGCTCGCTTTAACCATGAGAATCAAGCGACGAGGATAATTCAAGATCAAGCTGCTGTTGGGTTGATATTCAAGGTAGAATGATTTTCTGCAAGGCTGCTGATTTTCACAAGGCGAATAAACTTCAAGGCTTATTAACCCTAGCCATAAATTCTTGTCTTGGTCGTTAAAGTCAAGAACAACGATCAGAATAAAATACTGAAATAGAGCGGTGTTCTTCTCGGATTTTATTTCGTGCCTTATATCTTCCAATTGGCTTCTCCTCCCCAGCTCGATACAAACTAATTACGCCTTTTAGAGCACCCATCACTCACAAACTTAGTGAGGAAACTGAAGATCCTAAAACTAGTCAACTTGCTTTCAACTCTTTTCACGCACGGAAATAAGACACTCCTGCATGTCCTGGTTCGCGGAATATGACTGAGGGACCTGACCCGAAGGTCTTTGTTTTCGGTATCAGGATAGAATGTGTAATCGTCACAACCGCATTGGCCACAATTCAAGAGGCATAACATTCTGGGATTTTGACATTTTGAAATGACACATCGTAGATAGGAAATTTTCACGCCGAGTTAATTTTTTTAAAACTAACGGTTAAAATTTGTAACTTTTTCCACCGTTTTCTAACCCAGTTGATACCTTCTCATAAAGCCTTTTGTGATAGCTGTAATTGGTTTCCGCGGTTTAAAGCACGTAAAATCCTAAACATCGCATAGAAGACTCCGATAAAGAGAAAGGTTGAAATTCCTCTGTGCTCTAAGGCTCTTAGGGCTTATTGAAGCAAATTATTCCTTAGCCTTTTATGGCATCAAAATTTGCAGACCCTGGTACCTGACGTGATGGAAAACCAGCTATGCAACGAGAGTACTTCCACGGAACCTACCTATTCGTTCACGTATGGTGAGTCTGCAATCAAATTCACACCCGGGAAATAAAATATCTGCTTGCAAATATCTTCGCGAGGGGAGAACTATCCAGCCTCGACTTCGTGACCGAGTGGTTTCATCGGTGAAGTGGATTTCTTTCAGGATGTTCTTGACGTCACTAAATGGTACTGGAATGCCTTCCAATTTTTTCTTGAGATCCTTTCTAGCCACCCAGACCTAAAAGCGCACATTTAAAAATATTTTGTTGAGCTATACAACTCAAGCTTTCATCGAATCCTTCTAGTTACGTCTTTAGAAATGAATTGCTTATGTTGTTGTTGTTATTCATATTCAAAACAACCTTATTTGCAATGGAAAAAAAATAAATGCAACTCGTGAGATTGAACGAGAGTGCCAGTTGGGAAGAACTCAATCTTCAAGCCAAAATGAACCTGACCTTAACCCAAGAAATTACTGAAAATAAGATATTTTTCATGTACGTAATGATAAAATAAATTTCCAGAATGCCTGCGTCAGAGCTTCCTAAACTTGCAAAAAGGTTTTTGCTTCGACAACTTGGCGAGGCATTAAAATTATTGATGTGTCATAACCCTGGCAAATGCAGGAAGATATTTTATCGGGAAGAGGGTATTGCGGATTGAAAAAAATGCAATATGAGTTAATGTTGTTACTCGTTTAACTGAACTGTTTTGGCCTCTTTCTGCCTACGCACTATATCTGCTGACAAATGAAGAATTTGTCAAAAAATATATGGCTTTATGTTCGGAGACAAAGAAGTGGCTGAGTTTAGATTATTGTACTTTTTGAGGTTTTAAAAAATACCTCCATCGAGATAGCTACTTGGACAACCAAGATGGCGGGTGGTCGTCGTCTATCGGCTCCTCGTTCTGTCTGCATTGTATTGTATTTTTATCTCTGTTTTACCAACTACAGCTTTCAGAAATCTAAGCAACATCAAAGTCAAGCATCCTACACTTCTAGCGTTTTAGACTATCAAACACGAAACTTCGGTGCGACGAGATCGAATGGACTTGTTTCAAACTCAACGCGAGTTCTCCTCGGTTGCCGGCTAATGCTCAATTCCCTCCTCTCGCTACTACTCATTCAACTGGCTAATGATGTAGAGATTCAGCCTGGTCCCGGTCAAGCTCATAGCCTAAACGGTCTGCGAATTTGTCAATGGAATGTAAAACACCTGACAGGTAGACGACCGAGCAATGACCAAGATAGACTGGATATTCTGATCCTATCGGAGACCTTTTGCTCCCAAAAGGTCCCTGATTTCTTCTATGGTATTCGCGTATTCCAGCTTCATCGAAAGGATAGAGTTAGAAAATCAGGCGGTAAAATTTTATGGCTTGAAATCTGCCCCTACCAATCGAAACGACCTCTTTTTACTAGCGGTATTTACAGGCCTCCGTCGTGTAGGTCAGCAGACGACAAGAAGCCCGGGAAAAACATCGAAAATGTGCATCTTCTCAACAAGGAAATTACTTTACTAGGAGATATCGACATCGATTATCTATGCAATATGAAGTTTGGAAAACACCCATTTATAAAAACACTTCACAACCTGAATTTGTTCCAACTTGTTAAAGTTATCACCCGGCCATTATCCAAAGCCTGCCTCGATCATATTTGGTCAAGTCACCCTGTGCGGCGAATTAACGTGCAAGTTTTCCCATCTGGACTGTCTGATCACCTACCGACCATTGCCACCCGGAAAAACAAACCAGCCGTACAAAGCACAGTCGTGCTACAACAATCACCTACCGTGACATCAAGAACAAGGATAAAGAACAGTTTACTGCTACTTTGAAAGAAGTGCCTTGGGATTGCGCGTTTGTTTTCGATGACCCCAATGACGTTGTCGACACCAGGTATGAAATATTTAATGGTTTTGTTGACAATTATCTTCCTCTTAAAAACAAGCGAGTGAAGCGGAAAACCCAGCCCAAATGGTTTAATGACAACATCGTAGAACAAATCAAAGCGCGTGATGAACTTCTCACCAAAGCCAAGAAAAGCGGAACAGACAACGACTGGCTAAATTTCAGACGTGCGAAAAATAGCGTGACTAACCAAATTAGGCAAATAAAGCAAGCATACTTCTCACTCTCTGAGAGCTGGCAAGACTCGCGGAAACTTTGGAACTTGATCAAAATTCCTGTCAGGGAGTGACAGTCACGATTTTAGTCTCCAGCGGCTAGTTGATAACAGTGAGATTATTTCGAACAAAGTGGAAATTACCGACACACTGAACAGCTTCTTTGTCAACCAGCAAAACAACCTAAATCCCCAGCCAGAGCTCAAAAATGATTAGCACTGCCAACCTAAGCAAGCACCCCTCCTAAGCCATGTTAAGTGTCTGGAGCGTTAAATTTCCCACACATGTCTGGGGGAAGGGCTGTAGACCTTCTTCTTTCTGTTCCAGAGCATAAAGCTACTAGTGACGACGGTGTTAGTACCAAACTACTAAGAATTGCAGCACCAGCCAGCGCTGATTCCCTCCGTCAGCTAATCAATTACTGCATCGACACACAGACATCCCCTACAAAGTGGAAAGTCGGTAAAGCGACCCCCACTTACATGGAGCAAGAAAGTTATGATGACAAGAATAATTATCGACCGATAACTCTGCTTCTGATACTTTCTAAGCTATTTGAGAAGTATATTTGCGACTACTTGTACGACTTCCTTGAGAAAAATGCATTACTTCATCATCTCCAGTCCGGATTCCACAAATTCTACTCAAACGAGACCGCCCTCACTCGACTAGTCGATCAGCTGTTCCTAGACTTGGACAAAAACAGAGCAACAAGGCTAGTATTTATTGACTACAAGAAAGCATTTGACCTAATAGACCTTGGTCTCCTTTTGACAAAACTGAATGTCTCTGGGATATATGGTAACGAACTAAACTTACTACGAACTATCTGAGTGGAAGCAAACAGTACGTAGTCATTGACGGATGTCGCTCCTCCTCAGCAGCTCAGCGTTCTACCGTCGACATCTATGCGGATGACACCACTCTCAAGTTCTCATCCGACGTGACAAATAGACTTTTTGGAATCACATCAGCCCTTCAAGAAGACCTAGATGACTTTTCGTTGTGATCGGCTGCCAAAAAGATGGTGACGAACGCCGCCAAGACGAAATGTCGGTTAGTGACCAGGAAACGCCTTGCAAATAAGATCGTCGATGGTTCATTAACTCTTCATGAACAGGTGGAGAGTCAGAAACTCCTAAGGCTTACCATCGACCCATACCTAAACTTTAATGTTCACTTTGAAGAACTGCGTAAGAAACTATCCTAAAGAATAGCACTGCTTAGGAAGATAAGAAGATTCCTCCTCATTGAACAGAGGACATTATACTACAGCGCAATGATAAAACAACTAATGTTATGTGGATCAACTGCTTGGTCGAACTGTTCAAGTGATAACATAACGAGAGTCTTTAAGCTTCAAATCGTGTTGCCCGAGTTTTCTTGGAAGCTGATACAAGGTCGAACAGCGTGAACTCTTTAAGAAATTAGAGTGGCTTCCTTTCTATGACGAAGGTAAGTTAAATAAGAGTACTTTAGTCCTTAAGCATTAAGGAAACTGTCCCACTACCAAGTACGATTTACTCAAATTCAATGCAGACCTTCACACACGAACTGTTTATTATAGTAAATTAAATCTCGTCTGACCTCGTTTCAATCGCGAAACCGAGGGAGGGAGGACCTTTAGCGTATCTACGACGAGATTGTGGAACCAACTACCCATTAACTTAAAGAAAGAGGCGACAACAGTAACTTCTTACAGAGAGGCCTTTGACAGACATTATTAAACGAGCTATGATGATGTAGAACATTTCAGTCCGAATGCGATTTAACCCGACCCAAGTGGCATATTTCATTTTATCTAGTTTTTAGCTTGTATTCTTATAGACCTGTCGAAAAGTTTTATAATCCTCGAATACATTTTAATTCTAATTATGGCACTTTTAGGATCGAGGGCCACTAGTTCATCAGTTTGTTGAGTTTTACCCTCCTTAAATAAAGTTGTTTGTTTGTATTAACGTTTATAGCATAAAAAATGTGAATATAGAACCATTTAACACTTTGAATTCTTCGTTAACATAAATAAGAAAGTGAGATGGGCTAACAAAAGTAGCTAACCGACGATGCTGACACTCTCCAAAACGTACAGTAAAACAGCAGAATGGTCTTGACGTAGATGAAGTTAATTTGTACTGCTTGCTTTGCAGCTATAGTTACACCCAACTAAGCGAAATATTAATTTTTGATACAGTCTCTATCGGATGTGTCGTGGCTAGCTGTATCGGTATTGATAAGTTAATCATTTTTTGAAAATTTCGCATCTTGAGCCTGAACTTTCTATCGCGACATTGCTAATTTGTGCGAGTTCGGCTGGGATAATTGACATCTTGTCAGGTAAACCAAGCAAGTCTTGATAAGCGGGCTAGGGGCCCTTTCTCGAAAGTTCGGTAACTTAACGGGCCTATAAAGCTGTTCTGTTTTGATTCAAGATAGTGGTTCAAAAGTTTTGAAAATTATGAGATAAAACTGTAAGCTAAAGAAAAAAACGGACTTGAGCCAGAATCTGCCTAGCTATTCTTTAAACTTTGATTCCGGGCTTCAGGCTCGTTAAGGTACCGGGAATTATAAAAACAGGCCCCAGTCACGTTAATCGCTACCGTAAATAGACTTACCTTACATCTCACTTGACGACTGCATGGAGTGAGAAATGTTAAGTCATATCTTGCAGCGTAGTCTAGGTATTCTTTTGGTGTTTTGTCATGATAATATCCACTGAAAATATCCTCAATGAAATTCACGCCTTCTTGAAAAGTAACCTTCCAGTAATTTCCTTCCTCTGACGACTGAAACATTTCTGTTGCATCATCTATGCTCCATTCCAATTTCTCAATGTCCTCTGTAACGGATAACAATGCTTCTTTAGGCAAAACTTTTAAACCAACCAAAGATCATTACTCAGGTAAAAATCCCTGAATTTAATGGTCATTAATGTAGTAGGAAACGAACATTTTGTGTTAAGTTAAATATAAAGTAAGGAGGAATAAAGGGTTTTATAACGCATAAACAGGTACAAATTGAGGAATTTAATCGACGTTTAAGTATCGTTGTGACATCACGGTCAAGGTCACTGAGCAAAAAATGTTGATGTTATAAAGAAATGAAAAAAAATTAACATGACAATAATAACAACACTCGTGCTCCTTGAATGTTAACCCCATACTGGCAAAAGGTATTCATAAAATATTGCCACATCCACGAGGCATAATGGTTATTGTTCTGTGAATTTTTGTAAGCCACAGAAACAGCAAAATCTTTTTGCTAATGGTGCACCAATGATAGCAAACTTTCCGTTGATTCGTGTAATTATAACGTGCCTAGGAGGCTATCTGATTTATCGTTCCACAATATGATGACTGCAATATCATTAATATAGTAATTAGTATTTTGTAGTGAAAGTTCCTTTTGACCTGAGCTTCCAGGGGTCAGATGTTACCTTTACTGAGCCCACTAATAGTAGCTAAGCCAAAATGACACCACATGTCAGCTTCTAACTGGTTGCTTGAATCCTTTTTAGCTTTCAGATTCCGCAGCGATTCCAACGTGGCGTCTTTGAGTTTTGATAAATAGCCTGAGTCACTCACACATTCCTATTCAAAGGAAGATACATGAAGAAGTTAAACATCATCTAACTATTTCACTGGATATCACTGACCTTTGACAAAGACAAAGTGCATAACAAACTTGGCGTATTGTTCTTTATTCAGATATGCGCACGCCCTATGAGATGTTGTCACAGTTGCACGAGTAACCTATGAATAATTTACATAAAGGTGCGGGCAATAATGTTACTGGCTTTGGTTCGGTCCACTATGAAATGAATAAAGATTCGTAAGAGGGTAAAAAACTCAAAATACAATACTTGGGGTTCAATTTGCTGAGGACGCTCTTCTTTATCCCAGTTTAACTTTCAAAGTGCAAAGAAGTATACAATAACTTATACCAAAGAGTGAAAAAGCGATAAGTGAGTTGGAAAACAGGCTTATATTGCAGCCATGAGAAATTACGCGTTACCTTTAGTTGCTAACCACGACCCAATTTCGTTCCATTTAAATTGTCAAAGAATAAGTTGTACCCACTTGTTTAGACCTTAAATTATAATGTGCGCAGCGCGCCCAGCGGCAGCCCCATAATTATACGAAATAGTAGTAACCTATCAAGCCGAAAAAATTGGACTTATGACCGTACGGGCATCCGTAGAGGGTGCTACTATTAGTATGTGCGGCCAACTGCACTGCGGGCTCTATCTTAGCTATTACATGATGGAAGGAAGAAGATAATGCGCTGGCGCGATTGCGTGCGTAGCTTGGATGCCCCATCAGTGTGCGCCAGGAGACACCACCAGATGACAATGAAGGGCGCATGCCTGAGATCCGAGCTTTAGTGCAGTGAACCGCGAGCACACGGTTAGATATTACACGAGGGCTTCACGTGGGATAGAAGCTTTGAAGCCGCGTTTTGAGCGGAAAAATGTAGTTGAACAGTAATTCTCAGTATTTTGCACTTTCTAATCAATTCGCAAAGCAACAATACCGGCAGAGGCAAACTGTTTTGTCAACCGGAGGAAATTGCTATAGTTCAAGTTCGTGGAGAGAGGGTTTGAATGAAAATAGGCCGGAAAGAAAGAGACAGAGCGACCAAACAAAGCAAGAAGTAATAGGCGTAAAGCGAGTCGAAAAAAACGCTCAAGAAAGTTGGAAAGGTCACCAAAATAGGCAGAATGCGACGAGAAGGACGCGTAAGAGAAAGAGAAAAGGCGTCGAAGATGTGTTGTTTTACCCTAAGAACGAAGTAATGGCCTTTCCCAAAATTGAAATAAAATGAGATTGAGTCAGCAATGTTGTTTGCATTAAGTCTGACGCGGTAAAAATTTGATTTTGACAATATTGTCAGGCGAGAACCCGTCAAACATCAGAGAATTTATAACAGACCGCAAATGTGTGGTGCGAACAAACTCACGGATAACATGGAGTTAGTTCTATCACGGGATGAGTACTTTTCAGCGCCATGCTTTCATGCTGTATACTCGATTCGTTCGAACTTCAGGGAATGGTTTGTCTCACAAAACATGGAGCCACTTTCTCTTCGCTCAACATCTCAAGGCGTATTTAATGCACGGGTATTGATGAACATGCTTGCGATACGATAATTTTTTCCTAATGCTGGATGTCATGATATTGGTCAGCCTCCGTTTCCGGCCAGCGATCATCATATTAGTACCTTGGTCACTGCATATAAAATGTAAGCATTTATCACTATTCACGTGTAATATGATTAAGTGTAGTGTTCTTCTTGCTTCGGAATAAAACGTGTGTGTCTTACAATCTACGCCTCCTGTTCTTAAAACAAGAACCACAACAACTGAAGAATCAATCTCTGAAATTGATAGTCATCACATTTTGCAAGAAGCGTCCGAGCTGTGATCATGTAATTAAACGAGGTCCTGGCAATTTGAGCTCACAAGCACGCCATTAAGCACATGTTTAAAAAAAAACTTTACGCTACTGACATTGCTGATCCTAGCAGTATGCAGGATCACCGAAGAGTGTCTGTGGCTCAGTGGTAGAGCATCGGAGCGCAAATCCGAAGGTCTGAGGTTCGATTCCGCATGGGGACTCAGAATTTTTTCTTTGTCCTACGCTAGTGACGTGACGAAAAACATCTTTCTTAATTCTTCACCGAGCTCAAAACTTACCATCCCTACTTTTTTATCCATAAAACATAACGCTATCGACATTGCTGATCCTAGCAGTATCCAGGTTGCGTGTCATATCAACTTCGTAATAGATCTCGCTCACCGAAGAGTCTCTGTGGCTCAGTGGTAGAGCATCGGAAATCAAATCTGAAGGTCTTAGCTTCGCCGAGATCGAAACTTACCATCTCTACTATTTCTATCTAAAAAACATTACGCTATCGACATTGCTGATCCCAGCTGTATGCCGAAGAGTCTTTGTGGCTCAGTGGTAGAGCATCGGAAATCAAATCCGAAGGTCTTAGCTTCTATTCCTCGTGGGGACTCAGAATTTTTCTTTGTCCCTCGCTCGTGATAAGACGAAAAACATCTTTCTTAATTCTTCACCGAGCTCAAAACTTACCATCTCTACTATATCTATCTATAAAACATTACGCTATCGACATTGCTGATCCTAGCAGTATGCAGGATGCGTGTCATATCAACTTCGCAATAGATCTCGCTCACCGAATAGTCTCTGTGGCTCAGTGCTAAAGCATCGGGGCGCAGATCCGGAGGTCTGAGGTTCGATTCCTCGTGGGGACTCAGGATTTTTTTTCCTTTGTCCCACGCTCGTGACAAGACGAAAAAACATCTTTCTTAATTCTTCACCGAGCTCAAAACTTACCATCTCTACTACTTCTATTTAAATGATTGTTGTTTACAGTTTTCGAATTAAAGAGCAGTTTTTGAGATTCCGTTTCTGTAACCTTCCTGGATATTATCTGTTGAACTCACTGCGGTATCTCGGAATTTCATGGGTGATTATGAACGATAAACTCGTATTGGCACCATAATATAGGGAAGGTTTTTTTATTACATAAACTGCGGTGTTATACAGGGATTTCCGGCCGTGAGAAAAGCCGTAACAACACACGTGAAAAAATATCGTACCTGCAAACAGTCAGAGAGCACGAGATCAAAGGCCAAAACATTCCTGGTTATTTCCACAATCATTTATGTTTAGTTTTATTGACGTTAAACAGACTTAAGGAAATAACACTGTTTAAAGTATAGTTTCCTCTGAATATTGAGGGGTAAGCTACATTATTTTGCTTCATTGTTTTTTTCCACCTGTTGAAAAATCCTTAATTCATCAAGGCACATGAATGTTTTCTTCTTACACACAGGCTACATGCACAATCTTATTCCAGACGCGTGCTAATCAGCTAATTTGTAGCAGTGTCTTCTCACGCCTATCGTTATTTGGAACTAAAAGGAATGCAAATACGAACACTTAAAATTAAGAAACGTACCTCTATCACAGCTTTTAAAAAAGTTTGCATCTTCATCTACTACCGAACCACACGCGGAGCAAAACATCGTGAGCTCGAATCAAAGTGCTCTGTGAGCAAACTCGTGAATTGACTGATGACTTACATGGTTTTTTGGATTATGTTTAATGTTATCTGGTTTAGGGAATTTTGTGATTAATTGTCATATTTAGAGTACGAGTAGTAGTTCACTGTTCGCTAATGTAGCAAAGAAACAAAGTAACATTGGGATAAGAAGGCATTTCAATTGAAATGATCATGCTATTACATTTGACAAGGGTGGATGATGTCGTGTTTTAAACATATATCATTTTTGTTTCTGGTTCAAAAGAAAAGGTTGGAAGTAAATGTGGGTGAAAAGTGAAATTTACTGTTTATTATGGTAAATATTGGAAAATCAAGGCAATACTGTCTTAATGAAAACACTAATGATTCCCTCTTTATTAAATGAGACAAACGGGAACGAGGTTTGAGGGATATAACTAAGCCCAGATTGCCACCGTCATTTTGGATTTCCGCCTGGATAAATTTTGGTCACGTGCTAGGCAACCTATAAACGAGAACAAGATAGAATTTCATTTCAGGCCTATTTTTTTATTAATTTTGTGTTTAACTTTGGCATTTTTGTACGTAATATTTATTTTGAATCTTCTTGAGTCTTGAAACTTAAACAAAAATTGTTCTTTAAAAATTCACTGAAAATCGGTAGCCAAAATTATTTACAAAGGTCGCCATTTCGTTTGTTTACTGTTACACGACTTACCAATCGTGTGCAACTAAGAACCGTTGACCAACTCGTTTTTTCTGTTTTGCCGTGAGTAAATTTTGTTTTGCCGTGAGTTAATTTTGTTTTGCCGTAAGTAAATTTTGTAGTACCTTGACTTTTTGTTTTGCCGTGACAGTTGTGTGCCACCGCATTAAACACTCGAAGAGAAATTCCATATCTACACGCGTCCATGTGTTATTCTCTATTTAACACATTATCAGTTTACAATTCGTGAATCATTTCTGTAACCTGCTTGGATATTTTCTTCTGAATTAAATGAGTCACACCCTCGGAATTTTATCAGAACGATAAATCCGTTTATGTAGCACAAGTGAAGCATATTTTAAACGGTAGTTAGATAACGGCGTAATATGTGACTAACACAGTCTATATACTGTACGATTTTACGCCACCATCTGCGTCGGTGTATATACTGTAAGATTTTAAGCCGTTAACTAACAGTATATAGTATATGGAATGTGTTAGTCACATATTACGCAGATATATATATACGATTTTAGGAAACTAAACTTAATTGACTCTCGATAAATCGTTCATAACTCGTTGATTATTTTATTATTTTGTAGCCCCAAAAGCCCGGCTTATGACTCTGGAGGTATTGAACTTTATATATTTGATACACAAGGCACCCTTTAAGGAGGAAGGGTAGAGTAAAATTGGTTTTAAGACCGCATATTACACCTGGCTTACATAATTATGTAGATAATTGCTTAAAAAAATACCTATTGTAGCAGTATTAAGAAGAATAGTCATGAAGGTAATATGCTTCTGCTTTATTTTATTGTAGGGGGTTTCTTTTAATGTAACATTTATCTATCCTTTAATTTTATCCTTAACCTGCCTGCAACTGATTAAATTTCATGTTTTAATTTAAGTGTGAGAAGGTAAAACAGAAGTGTTGTAGAGTTCTCTTTCCAGATTGAATTCAGATGAGAACATCAGTAAACTAGTTAATGTCATATGCTTCTCCTGAATCTTTAATTTTATAAAGGAGGAATTAGATGCTAGTCACTCTCAGGGATTAAAGGGTTAATAACTGTACACATTTTATATGCTCTTTGCATTTGTTGGCAACAGTAGTTCAGATTGTCAGGAAAGCAAACAAACAAATGAACAGAAGACAGTGAAATGAGAGAAACTGTGAACTTAACCGTATGACAGAAAAAACATCACAGAATTCATCAGAAGGGAAACTTAAATTGTGCTAGTTAATATCCTCTATTGCTCTTCATGTTTTTGATCAAATAAAATTTCATCAGTTTTAGGGTTTGCCTGCAATGTGTCAAATTACCAGAGAGAGTGGACCTGATTCTTCTCGGATGCCAGCTGGTAAAGATAGGTACTACAAATAGATGTCCATAAGAAAAAGAACACATTATCAAAAAAATCACACTGAAGTGGTGGCATTATTGATTTGTGGTATTTAGAATGACAGAGGCAGGAAAACACATTGAGCTTTTTCCTATTCACCGGGAAGTTAATTGGATTTTGGATTCTACATTCAAACTGGGTGAGATTAAATTTATTCATATCATGCTTCATTGGGGTTTGTTTTACGTGGAAAGGTAATTCTTATTATAGCTTCACAGATGTTTTTGCCGCTGTCGCAATTAACTTTCATAACAACGCTTCATTTCACATGACATGTTTCAAGAACTTTTTCCTTTCCTCTTCAATATCATTTACTATTTCTGGAGCACAATTAAAGGAGCAGGTTATTAAAAAAAATTGATTCAAGTAATTATTTGAATATGTGAGTAACATTTGATGTTTTCACATGTAACAGGACAATCAAGCTGAAGACAGCCTCAAAAAGAAGTGAACTCCACTGTAACGATTACGTGTCTAATTTGGAAACTTGAGCACTTGGTAAATACACCTTGGCTTGCAATTCTGACGGTTACAGTTTGCTGAGGTAATTAAAATGTCAGTCCCCATGCAGGAACCTTCTTCATGACCTGTAACTTTAGAAAAATGCATTTGTGCTGGTAGAACTATTGTAAGTACAGTACCACCTAGTGACAAAAATTAATGATTTCCTGTAAGAATGAATCCTGATGTTTGGGAGAAGTTATGGTGGCAATTGACCCATTTGTGTGAGGTTGCATAGGGTCTAATGATTGCCATGTATATCTTTTAGCTTTCAGACTTTTACCTTTATATTAATTGTAACTGTTTACCATCTCTATTTCTCTGTACCCTAAGCCCTCAAAAGTTGAAGCAGGTGAGTCAATAACCTGACTTCCTTTGTTTGGAATTGTGTGACTATATAATTTTGCAGTGTAAGCTACCACATTGTAACTTAATATTTATTATTTAGATTGCATTTAATACTCTTGCTCAACCTTTCATTAATGCATGGTGTTTCTTGTCAATGCTCATACCCAAACTAAACATTGATAACAGGAATTGGTCACAAGATAAGTGAGTTTTAAAGAGTGGGATTCTGGAAAAGCAAAGATCCTCCATTAATTAGGACTGAAATTAATGGGGGCCCTCCTATTTTAATTCATGTTTTACTCTGACCTCCTTACTCCCCTGTAATGTTTAGGGTACTTTGATGAAGAGAAAATTTTTTGCATTTTGACACTGAAAGTTAAATTTATTAGTGTCCACTTAATGCATAAAGCAAGAATGTAAATGCCTTAGCTTTATAGATTAAAAAATTGAAGTAAGAGAGTTGTGCAAACCATATCTAGCTTTTTATCCTCCTCTGGATATTTATTCAAATAACATAGTGACTAGTGACTAGTAACTCAAGCATTCACTCTCACTTTCCACCGAGCTTGTGGAAAGATGATAACCTCAGTATTTCTTTATATGAAGAAAGGAAAGCCTTCCCTCTTATCATAGATAGTTCTTTTGTGCATGATCAGTACAAATCTGGTCTAATTTGTATATGAAGGTGATTGTTCCAGGAAGGCTAGCCTTATAAATTAGTTCTGGAAATTTCTTGAACCTGTTGTGGTATGAATGTGTGACTAAATTTAACCTCACTAACCTAAACTGAATAAATAGAAACTTGAAATTTACTTGTTGTCCTTTTGAGGTGTGCATTACAATTTCAAAGTCATCACCAAGCTTGAACAACAGGTTTATAGGTAATCTGCATATCCATGTGTTTTCAATGTATAAAACCGGGGTGATGGCAACTTAGAATGACTTTACTATGTGCCGTACAGGTACAGGCAGGTGTTGTAAGAAAGTTTGCTTAGCTTTTACATTAGTACACACTTCATTTTCTGAGAATTTTGTTTATCTGGCCTATACTGAATTCTAATTTTTCAACCAAATTTCCTTTTCTTTTGAATATTCTCAGATCTCCTAGTATCAGTTAATATTCATGTAATTAAAACAATTGTATGAAAACTTGCAGATATATGGCACATTATTTTTCCTCCAATCCTCCTAACATTTTATCATGAGTAGGGATTGGTATTGGCTCTAAAAGTATAATCAAATTAAAGTTTTGTGCACAGCCTATGCATCAAACTTATGTAATAAAATATTGTATCCTTCTTAAAACTAGTTTATAATAATGAGTTACCAGGCACAACTATGGCTTTCACAATGATAGTTTCCGGGTTTGAACAAGGTCACTGCCTACTAAAATTCTTAGTTCCTTTGCCCTGACAGCTCAACCTTATCAAAACATTGGAAACAGGAGCAATTAGCAAAGTAATGATACAGACGAGAGAGTCTATTCCCACATACACCCTTCTAAATCCAGTAAGCTTATTATGGACATGGCATTTCAAACGTGGTGTATATGCCACAAATTTCCATTTCCCTGACTAATTTTTATTTTGTAATGGTGTTTAAAAGTTGTGGAAAATTGTTGGGTTACAATATGATACAAAGACTTGCCAATAGATAGTCAAATGAAAACTGTTTACACATCAATAAAATTTATTGTTGCGTCTCATCTTAACATGTTGCAACAACTTCACCTTCCAGCAAATTCAGTTATTTAAAAACGTGATGAAGTACCACCCAAAAATTTTCAACCTATTTAATATGGCCTATAACAACATCAACTCAACTTTTAAACGAAAGAGAAAACTTGCTTGATGTTTGGATTGATTTCTGTGATGTAAAATGAAATCCAGGTATTATCTCAAGTTTTCTAAAAGACACCCAAATTATATGCAGTTACAGCAGGTAACCGAACTAAATAACAGAAAAAATCTCAAAAAGACGCCGTGCATTTCCAGCCAGAGGACAATCTTGAAACAAGAATATCAAAATGAGAAAAATGTTTAAAAAAACTACAGGTTCTAAAACGACTTGAAAATTACTTTTCTTTTTAATTTTCTATGCTAAACAGAGGAAGTTGAAACGTTGGGGGAAAATGGTGGGGCAAACAGTCATACCTGGCAACTTCAAGAGAGGATATAGGAGAAGCCCATACGATTCTAGCGTATTGTTTTATTGACTCACCGTTCCTCTTTCCTGTATACTCTTCAATCGAACAGTGATGTATTAACGCGAAGTAGTTTACAGTCGTTTCTTTCAATTTGGTTCATTTTCCCAAACCGGAACTATGAGTAACACTTAATAAAATATAATTTCAACTGATGCTGACATCATACACTTCATCTGAAGAAGAAAACATTCCCAATCTTCGAAAATTTGCTCAAAATATCAGAAACAACAACGAAAGTCCTAGGCTGTTTGAAGAACCACTGACTAGCATGCGTGTTGATCGCTTTGCAAGTTGTGAGGGCATCGTTCCCAGGTTGCAGACCTTGTCAATTCTTCTCCCCCTCCCAACCACCTGGACTGGTTCCTAAATCCCCTTAAAGAAACTCTTCTAAAGCCAGTGATAAAGAGTCTCGTTACAGTTTTTGTTCAGTATAATTAAGGGCTCGAAAATAAGCTAACAAGAGCTCCGCTTTTAGGCTTGGCTAAATCTATACATAATATAATTTCAAACCTGTAAGCTGGACTCTCTTGAAGACTGTAGTCGAAACTGCGCCTGCGAGTTAGGGAAGACTCGCTCCAGGTTCAGTTTACAGTTCTCGGAAACATTCCAACCGTCGATAAAACAGCAGACTGTATAGCTGTTGTTCTTCAAGCCCCTGAGTCGTGCTAAAGCCTGAAAATGATGAGCTCCTTTGTACACTTTTTAATCAAAGAAAGGGGATTTGAGGTGGTTGTCAAATGTTACACTATTCATATTTTGCACCTGCAGTCATCTTAAATATCTGCCAACACAGATATGCATAGTAGATGTAGCAATAGATTAAAGAAAATAATGGCAAAGGGGGAAAAGAGAAAAAAAAAACGCACACGCATTGTTAAACCTTGAGGAAAATCCTCTCGGGCACTCAGATAGAAGAAATAAAGTGACTTGGTTCGAAAGCCGAATAATCCCATAATGAAGGTACGTAGTGAAATTTGTACTGCTCTGCTTAAAACCTGCTTTAAAAGCAATATATTTATAAGTCTTCACCATGGCTTGCAAAAGATGAATCTCTATAAAACATCCACTTTCCTTTCTTCTTAAAATGACACACCATTATAGGTTGTCAAGCTTATGAGAGATTTTTGGAAGTTGCTATTGAGTAAAGTCTGTCATTTCTTGGAGCACGTGCAACAATTAAGAAGGAAACAGTTGTTCATCTCTTAACTTTTGACCTTGAGCATGTGCAAAAATATCGGGAACACGTACAAATAACACAATTGCACCTCCGGTAATGGTATTGCGAGAAAAATAATAACGACATTGTCGCAATAAACAAAATTGGTTAAAGCTAACAAAAAAGACACAAAGATGAGAATTTTCTACCCTGCGTAGCTGGCAATTTTTTTGCACTTTATCTGAGGAGTTGAGTGGCACACTTATGATGGTGAGAGGCTTGGAAGGTTGCCTTCACTTCTTCGGGCGAAAAAAAAATTACGCAGGTTAAAGAGCGACTCAAAACTTATTGATTGAGGGGAAACAAACATTTATCCAAACTACCTACCACTCTGCGTTTGATAAGCAACTTAACGTGATCCCTTTGTTGCTTGGTTCCCTGAATAATATGAACCTTTCCTCTTATACGGGTCACTTCTGCCCCTGTTTCTTTGCTTATCTCGAGAAGATTAGCTTCGTGCCTTCCTATCACCAAACCGTAATATTCGGTTGGAATCTCCACTTTCTGCCACCTGGTTAGCTTTATTTCCTCCTGTGAAGAAAAATCTAAATTAAATCGTAAATCTAAATTAGAAAGCATTCGTGGACACTCTGTAACGTTCGAATGAACGAAACGAGTTTAATTATGTTCATAATCACCTGCGTTCATTAAAGAATTCACACGATGTAGTTACCTTTTAAACATCTAATCTGGAAAGTATATAGGCTATAGAAACTAATCTGGAACTAAACGGTATGGTATCCAGAATGTTTGTTTGGTTTTTTAATTTTTGTTACCGCATCGTTTATAAGTAAAACATCAACTCACCACTTTTTCTAAGATTAGTCTTTTTGCAGTTTCTCTCTGCTGGTCATTTCCACTGACAGTAAATCCTTCTTCTTCTCTATATCTGGATGTAATTATTGCTCCGGATCTCTGTCTTATACTATTCAACACGCTTCCATCCCTTCCAATGACACGACTCTTAAATTCTTCGGCTACTGGTACATATTCACTATCCATTTCCAGCCTCTCTCCTCTTGCGTTTCAATTGATCAACTGAAAACCAGAAAATTTCTAATCAGCTGACAATTTCTATAGCCTCAAGCAATGGAAGGTTTATTCGCGACAAATCAAAAAGTAATTAAACAACAAACAAATAAAAACGAATAACCAAGCTCTCCAATCGTGATTCCTGAGCGCCATAATCCTTTTACTAATTTTCTAACTTTTCCAGCCATGGTTTATTTTGGTTTGACATAGACTAATAAGTAAATTATTACGTTGACGGTCTCCCGCGAAGGTCAATTCTGATCCAGCCATAAAACTGGGGGGAAATCCATAACAGACAGAAACTACCTATCTAATGCAGCATAAGAACAACAAGTCATGGCAATGTCTTCATCAAGAGATCTAAAAACATATCCTAGCATCCTTGATCGTGTACTCTGATCGTCATGGCGAGACTAGCCCTGGGAAGGACTCTTTGATTAGTAGTGATATTCTCACAATCAATCATTATCCTTTTGATAGCATCAGTATGAGTGAGACATGGCTAGAAAACAACTAACAAGTACCTGACCGTATGTCTCAATATCTGGATACGAGAATGTATTTCAAACCGAGATTAGAGAGAAGCAGGCGGCGGACATCAAGTTCAAGTGTCTTCAGGACATTAAGAAACTAAAGCCAGACATAAAGTGAGATCCCTGGGCTAAGTAACAACAGAGGTTTTGAACAAATACTGCTAAAGAGTTTTAAAACTATGCTAGATCATCTCTCTGTTCACTGAGATGGACTACCTGTGATAACAGTTTTGAACAAATACTGCTAGAGAGTTTTAAAACTATGCTAGATCATCTCTCTGTTCACTGAGGTGGACTACTTGTGATAACAGGTGATTTCGATATTGATGTGCCTAACTCAGACGCGACATTACCTATGCAATACACTGATATTCTCTGCATACACGATCTACCGCCGGTAGTCACTCTAAGTCAACACGAATCACAGCCAAGTCGAAAAATCCAATTGATCACTTTATTTCTAACTATGTAAACAGACTGACAAACACAGATGTGCTACCGCGACCACTGATTAGCAATTACTATGTACCGTACGTCTGCGGGAACGCACGATTCAGCCGATTTGGACTGTGATACAGGTACATCAGGAATGAACGACGCTTCTCTGAATAGACTGAATATGCCTTTATTGAGGATGACAAAGGCCTACCAATGAGTGCAATATACGGTGTTCATGACCCAGATGAGAAATTAGAAATGTTCGACACAATGCTGTTTGACTGCATGGAAAGACATGTCCCTTTGAAGGGTACTAAGATAATCCGTCCTCTTACGTTATGGCTAAAATATAAGAACATACGCTTTTTTTCTGTTCTAGAAAGATGCATCTATACATTGGGCAGGACATGCCCTTAGAAGAAAGTCTGAAGCTTCTTAATGGCCAACGCGGTATCAAAGAAGATAATTTTCTTCGCTTACTTAGTGTTATAAGACAATGGTCAAGGACCCCTCAGAATGTTTTTTATTCGCAAATGATTTCCGACCCTGTCACTTTTTCAAACTTAAGTTTACATCTGCACCTTTAAATAGTCTAAACATTATTTTTAATCGTGTTATTGATACATGGAATTATTTGCCAAAATAAATCGTTGAGGTGGACAATTTAACATTTATAGGAATAGACTCGAATACCATCTTACGGGCGCTTTTTGCGAACATTTAGTTACCTTAAGGTTCGACGTATTTCTTATTTCAAAACAGATACAAATGTTTTTATTACTTTTACGAGGAGATAAACCAGAAAGCTATAACTTCTTTTATCTCCTTTTCGCTTTTTGGTTTAATTGTGAATAAACAATAGTTATTATCATTGTTATTACTATTATTATCATTATTATTATTATTATTATTATTATTATCATCATTGTCCATAAAGTTCGCTTAGATTTAAAAATGAACTATAAACGCGGAAAAAATATATTCAAAAAGTAAAACCAAACGTTTTCCACGTTAGGTCATCATCATCATCATAATCGTGATTCATGATGACTTGGCTGTCGAAAACGTTTGGTTTTTATCTTTTAGATATATTTTTTCCATTTAAATTGCTCTTTTTTAGTTGTTATTATTATTTTCATTATTATTATTATTATTATTACCATTGACAGTTCGAAAAGACATACTTCTGCCAAAGTCTTTAATAGCCTCCCTAAGGACATTAGGAACATATCAGACAGGGACTGTTCAATTAGGAGAAGGAACCATTATTTTAATACTGTTGCAAAAGATAGGCAATGATTCATTTATTCCATTATTCTATTTTTAGTAAATTACAGGACTCATATAGAAATATATTTATATACATTATCGCTTTAAGACTATCTAAATTGTATTGAAGTTATTTTTAACTAGTAGTGAACTATGACAAGTCTAGGAATTGTGTGACTTTAGATTCTGGATGAAGAGCAAGAAATCATGGTCTGGAAAACATAAACAAATCATTTTTATTATTTTGATTATCATTTATACTCAATTGGCGTAAAGCCACTTAAGTCTTACAGGCAGTAACTACAAGCCAAAACTAACCAATCAATTTACACTAGGCGGACTTATAACACTCGCCTGACAACAACTCTACGCTCGACTTTGATAAGGCCTTCCAGTAAGGTTGTCGAAAAGTCAGTCGCTACTACCAATATGGTCCTTCTTAGAATTACCCAAACCACACGGTCAAATTATATCAAACCATTTCAAACCAGTTCAAACCCTTTAGTGTATCAAGACATGTACACTTTTAAGAATGATTTTTATCGAGTACAAACAAACGTGGTGAGTGTAAATCTTTGAATAATAATCTTGACAAGCAATGACCCAATCGAAAACAACTGTGATGTTTCAGCTGAAGTGCTACATCATAAGTTATAATGCTTCTCAGGTTATATCGAGCTTGAAAAGAGAATAATTCAAACAATTCTTACCGGAACTTGATTAAGCGTTCGAGAAAATTTGAGTACTTCCGGGAGGGCGAACGATATTATTCAGCTGGTTGATTCTGCAAATAACTGGAAAAGTAAACCGAAAATTGGCAAGTCAAATATTACTGCCCGTTTCAGTTGCATGAATAGGTAGCTAAAATATTTGTAAACTTACCTATTCACCGCAACTAACGAAAAATTACAAAACATGACCATAAGATTTAGTAAATCATTGCTTGATCATCTTCGATTAAAGTTAACCTGTCGATCGCTAACAAGTACAATATTTTGTTATGATTTAAGATTTTCTTAACTAGAAAAAGTCGCTCAGATGCGAGAGAAAAAAACTTCAGTGATTTACATATACGTAAATTCATCACAAATAAAGCAGTTGTGAAAAGCCAATTGCGTGATCACAAATGTTATTCATGCTGCCTAATTTTTTTTTTAAATGACATCATTCAGCGACTAATGCTTTACTAATTCCATTATCATCAAGTTCGTTTAAATATGAAAATAAAAATTGTCGAAAGATCAGGCGCTTAGTAAAACTCAGAAATCATATTTTAAATATTTTGAATGGCGATGAAGATCTGAGCGTCCATCGTTAGAGAAATGTTCTCAGTTATTCATATTTAACAACGCAAAGGAAATGCTGTTCGAATGTCAAACACATCTGTGTATATTCCTGTTTTCGTCAATGAGATTTTTTTCTCCATGGTTTTAAAATACGAACGTGAAATGATTCTAGGTAAACAATGCAAGAAGTTATCATGCCATTGTCCTTAAGTAAATTTGTAACTTACCATTGTCTCTGGTGGTGGTTTATGTTTCATTCACAAATCGTTAATTTGAAAACGGCTGAAAAAGCTCTACGGTCGATCGGTTTTCACTATAACCTTTTGTAGCTTAGTTTGCTGGGAAATGGATTGTTCAGAACTGAGATGTTTGAGAGAATCGAGCTGTGTCGCAACTAAAGTACTTTCGTCATGGCCGATGTTGTGCTCGATTAGACAGCAATGATGTCTGGCGATCGCAAGGCATGATGGAATTATTGCATTTTGTCAGCAGGAGACAGTTATGTCGGATTAATATTTATTCCTCGGAAACACTTCGAGCTCAGTTTCCCAGGAACAAATATTGATCCTTTATGTCCGTGCTCAGCGTGATTTTGAGTTCACCTTAAATAGTCTGTTTTATTTTCATGAACTAAGAAAAGTTCCGCAACTACGGATAAAGAATAAAGGTCCACGCAGTGCCTTTTTTAAAGGAGCTTGCATAGATCTGTCAAAGACATCGATCATCGCCTTAGTGGGATCATTTACAATACTTCTAGCACGTTCCCCGAAAGAACCTCCATCATCCACTACAGAACTACCGCGGGCTCCGGTGAATAGGTACATCAGGAGCTCTTACTATTTTCCGGCTAATTTTATGTGACTTACGCTTTCGCGGTTTTATTTGACTAGTATTTTCTGCACTGCAAGGAAACATGACCATCCGTTCAGGATCTACCCCAGGAAATGGAGACTTAGTTTTCCGTAAGTATTGGTTTAAAACACTCAAGAATTTCTCAAGCTTATCTTACGCAGATATGTTGTCATTATTACATTATTCACGTATTTAATTTCTTCACTGTCGACATTACATTTGTAATTGATATGTACAGATCTGCCATGAGGCTAATTAAGTAAAGAAATGTGTTACCTCTTCAGTCGATTGGTGTTGCTTAAAAGAGAAAGGTTATCTGCAATTTCTGTCTCTCATCTGCACGCCAAAATTTCATGTGCCTTTGGAGGGGACATTAGAAGTTCACGACTTACCACATGTATATCTCACGTTCTCTGCATGCTGCCAACACAAGTAACTCAAAATTGAATAAGCTGATGCTGCCAACACAAGGAACTCAAAATTAAATAGACTGATGCAACGTATATTATCAACACTGTGACTCGCTCTTTATGATATTTGCTGATAAAGTCTATTGGACTGCACATGTCTACGTGCCAAAGAACATACCATAAACATAGGATAGTTAAAATTCAACAAATACATGTACGAAATGAAGTCTAATTATTTTTTAATGGTCAAATCAAGGAAGGACAATGTCCTGAATTAGTTAGGTATAGACTATATGATAAGCTTAACTTTACACGCATTTTGATACAGCTGCATAGTATAGTTAACCATTAACAACATTTTACTTCGTCGTGTTGCCCTGCTTCTGTTCAGTAATAAATCATGGAAGAATAAGGTAAGACCATCTGTGAATCCATTCGTCGATATGAGACCTGGTAAATTTATTGGCAAAATGGCCAACTAGCAAATTTGACTTGTTGAAAGTTCAAAGTTACGTGGACCGGCAAACTGAAATTAGTATAGGACATGTTCCTGATGACGCTTATACAGCGTGATATGACAAAGTACTCCCAGCGGGTACTTTATGTTTCATGGCAGACATAGCTTTTAAAAACGCATTTTACGTTTTATTCTCTGAAATTTGGCGGCTTAAATTAAGATTGACGACTGAAAAAAGCAGTGAACGACTTAAATACTCAAAGACATTTAAATAACATTCCCCACTTCGTTTTCTTAAAGTTATTCTGCAATCAAGCTCGCTTCTGGGAGTAAAAATGTCAGCCTGTAGAAATCTACGATGGAGGGGTTAGCCATCCTCGACACCGCGAGCGTGTTTTTTAATCTTCGAAGTAAATTTCTTCGAATATATTTTTGACGTCGCTAAAGGGGACTGCCTTCTCTTTCATTGTTTTGTCAGAGTCCTTGTTCAATACACTTAACAAAGATCATGTTACGACATGTTAAGGAAGCCTCAACTTTTAGTCTCAACTCGTATGCCGTGATATCACTGCAACTTGACTCCTTGAGCAGAGAAAACAGAGGAAAACTTTTACTGATTTTCCCTAATGATTAAAAACTATTCACCTGAGTGGAGGTGGTTAATGGGGGAATTTACCTCCCCTCTTCGAGGCTCGATAGATATCCACCGCTAGCCATCGACACCGAGGCGAATAGTTGTTTTAGTATATACTAAAAGAGTGAGGTAAAAAAACACAAAAAGATAATTATAACTCACCCATTCCTACAACAGTTACGATATTTTCGGGCGCAAATACCGCGCGAGCAAAGGATATCATGAGTTTGAGTAGCGAATCTGAGCGCCTCTTCAACGCTATCCGCTCTTTTAGTATGTACTAATAGTATTTAGTGGCCCTCCCTGCCATCCAAATTTCCGTTGTAACTCTAAAATGGTGAGTATCTAAATCGATGCCCATAGTGCTTTGTTCTTCTTTGTCAAAACCTATGCCGTTTAACGAATTCTTCAAGCTAGTTTTTTCCAGATCGGTCCTGTCCAACCAACATCAGCACTGCTCTTCTGTCATGGATTTTTCCTTCACTCAAGACACGGTAGTAGACTTGCAGAGCAAAAGGCCCTCTTGCAAGAGGTAGAGCGTCTGAGGTACAGAAGGTCCTAGGTTCTACTCCTGTTAGGAAAACACAGATTTTTTTTTTATAAGAGCATGCCTATTTCATTTACTTACATCGCAAGGATTAAAATTGACTATCTTCATTCATATCATAATTACGTATAAGTATCACATATCGATATTTCCATTCTCGCAGGATACAGGAACATTGCCACCATGGACTTAAATGACTTAGCTTGCAACGAGTCTCCCATAGCTTAGTGGTAAAGTGTCTGAGGCACTAATTGAAAAGTCTTAGGATCGAGGCCTGTTATGAGCACTCGGAGTTTTTTTCTCGGAGTATGCTTATGACATTCACTGAATAACATCTTCCCTCACTGAAATAGACAGGCTTAAAATTTACCAAATTCATTTAAATCATCATTGCGCATTAGCATCACATATCGACATTCCTATCCTCTCATTATGATGGAAGTTTGGTAGCATAAACCCATAATTAAACGGCTCAGCTTGCCACGAGCTCAATGGTAATGTATCCGAAATACTGATTTGAAAGTCGTAGAATCGAGGCTTGTAATGAGTACTCAGAATTTTCTTTTTGCCACGGGCTCGAGGGGTGGGGGGGGGGGGAAATTGGAATATCTCAGTCCTTTTAAACTTCAGATTTTAGTATTTGATGATTCAGGCTCTGAGCTACAGTTTTGTATTCACTAGTAAAGCACAGGAAAAGAAAATCCGAAAAACCGAGTAGCAAATGTCGTTTTATTATCAATTTATTTTTTAGTCTTTTTGTCTAGACTCATTTCGAACGAAAAATAGCCTCCTTTGCTCGATGACTAAGCTTAGAACTTGCCAATCTGCTCTATCTTAAGATTATGAGTGCTTCGGACCGAAGAATTCCAAAACGTTTTCATTTATGCTAGTTATGCTGCATCGCAGAATAACTTCAATAAAGCATGATTATCCGATTGGCTTTTAATTTCGAAAACATTTCTCATCATCTTTTCAACAACAAAGCTTTGAACTTTTTTAATAAACCGTTTCCTCTTTGGGTACATAGTCTGCACCTGTTGCATTCTCTGTTGCAACACACATACAAACACACGTAAGAAACATTTTTTTAGATTCCCATTTGTAATTAGCAGACCGCCATTAAAACGTATAAAATGACAGTTGCAATGGTCTCAAGCTAATTATTCTTAGTTAAGGAATCTTACGTCCTTGAATTGAAGTCTGAGAAATTTACTAGAGTTTCGATAGGAATTGAACCTGTGCCTTCCGTGTACAGGTATAAGGGTTGCATTGGTTCAGCATAAGAATCCGCTTTAAGCAAAACTACCTGTAGATTTCTTCGGTCGGATATGAACGCTTTACTATTTTACTGAAAAGAACTCCCTTCACTGATCCACTATTGTCGCAGCCACTATGTACTACTGCAATAATGATCTTTTGATCATGGTTTAAATTCCAAATAACATTTGTCGAAAGATCACGGGATCTATTCTTTAAGTACTAAATATCACAACAGAAAGGAGACGGTAGAGCGTTGTTGCCCATGATACATACCAAATACCGCGAAGGAAATACAGCTGTGGTGTCATAAACCCAAGGGCACTTTCTTATTGACACCTATTAGTGACAGTATATTCGATTGTGTTATTCAAAGCCGTGATGTTCGAGAGGATCGAGCTTTAAAGCAACCGGAGAAATTTTCGCCATCGCCGATTACATGCCCGGATGGTAAACGATTATTTCGAACCTTGTGCCCAGGGGTTTCTCGGTCAGTTTTCAAGACGGAGGAGCCAAAAGAAACCTCCAACAGACACCTCTCTCAAACGACTGCCGATTGGTATCTTTCTTGCAAGACATTTCATTAGTTTAATTGGTTCAATAAGCCCGTCAGAAAAGCGTTAATGTAACAAGCCTCAAATTCAGAGATACTTTTCAAGTTTTGTAATCTACAGCAGTATGTTTTTACGGCTAATACCTGCTGACGTATCACAAATCTATCCGGTCATAAGATATAGAGCCGCCTCCTCCTCCACTCCCACCGCTTAGACAGCAGAAGGCCAACTTCGAGTCTTTATGCCTTGTTATCATAACTGATTACGTCTCTACGTTGGAAGATACCTCTTTACCTTAAAAATGTCTTTTATTGCGTGAGGTATTTTCTTTATTTATCTATCTATTCTTTTTTGTTGGTCTTTTTTTTTGGGGGGGGGGCATCCTATTAATTAGCCTTTGCTATTAAGATGACCCTAAATCGCTCACTATCTAGGTTTATTTTCTTATTTAGAGGGAGATTTTAAAATTCTTGTCTGCCTATTTGTAATTTGTATTTGTTGTAGACTGAACTGAGTTGAAGTCGCAAGTCTCCCTACTAAAATATGACTGCTTACGATGTGATGAAAATATGTTCGCCCAGAACATTTAATGGTTTGTTAAAAAAAATTATTAAATGAATAGAAACAAGTCAGATTATCTTTAATTATGACAAAGTACAAAATAGAACAGATTCCTCGAGACAAACTTATTTTGTCCATTATCAATAAATGGTAAACAGTTTATGATATCCTGCCATTATTTCAAACTTTGGCGTTTAAAATTATTTCAACAAGAATATTTAAATAGTACTACGGGAAAATGACGTGATAAGGAAAAAGAGTAGTTTTTATTCTATTTGCTCAAAGATATGTCCTTTACAAGATCCATATATTACCTGAGTGATGTTCCTTTCACTGTGTCCCATGCAACAAAAGGGTTTCGTTACCGAAGTCATTTAATCTCTCTAAAAAACCAAGATCTTAATCGCAGAGATCCACGAATTTTGGAAGGTAACACAAGATTTAATCATTTCCGTCCTAATTAAACCAAAACAACAACAATAAATGAAAAAGCCAACAAACATAGAAATCAAATACAACTTGCGCTTACGCTTTATTTCGTAAATTTGACTTTGAAATGAAGAGGAGGCATTTCTTTTGCTACAATTTCCTTTGTTATGTTGTGTGAACCAAGCGTCCATGAGAACAGAATGGACATAAGAAACACTCCACATCTAATAGATTTCACCAAGAATAAATTACTCCAAACGCAGTCTATCATCAAAGTTCGCTGGCTGCAAAAAGCTTAGATTTGGGCCAAATTATCCGTATCGATATCCCGTTTTCCTTTCGGTATAATAATCTCAATCACGGAATAGATCACGGAAGAGCGGCAGAGGAGAACCATAAGGAGGCTTGAAACGGAAAGATGTAAAATCTGGTGAGACAATTATTAAAATTTGGGCAGTGCTAGACGAGGAAATTTTCATCTATACCGTAGAGAGAATTTGATGCAAGTCTCGGAATTGAATCCGAAGAGACCCGAAAAAAGGGGTACGTTGTGTAGATTCCACAAGATATCTGATATCGTTAGGTGAATACGTTTGCAGCATAGATGGCACCAAATAACGCTTGTTGCACGGATCATGTGCCTATTGCATCAGACACAACAAGCTGAGTGTCTCTAAAATCACTTCAGGCTTTGTCGCATTTTTATCAGAGCAATCAAAGGACTCCAGGCATGTTTAAGGTTTCTCTTTGAGGATCCCCACTGTTTTTAGTTTTTCTCATAAATTAGCGGCTTCTAATCGATGGCGGCATTTAACGGAGTAAAATTCAGTAGCAATCAGTTCAATTACTTGATGGTTGAATCAGTTGTTAATGGATCCTTCAAAGTGGAAGAAAACTGCTGGTTTCAAAGAAAGTCGGCAATTGCAGGCAGCCCACAGTCTTTCAAAAGGTCATAGAGATCTCCCACAGTTATAAGATATTTTTGTGAAGCGAAAATTAAAACTTCCAACACTTGGTTCCTTGTGCGCTTGTCCAAAAAACGTATCTCCGCGGGGGTCAGTCCTAGTTTCTCAGCAAATAGCTCCCAATCGTCTCGACCTACAAGAATAATCATTGAAACACGTTCAAAAGATGTTTCCATCTGCCCTGGACCCTTTCCCTTACAAATTTCGGCTGAATGTTTCAAAACACTCAGCTAATGTTTCCGATGAGGGAACATTACTAAACATTTTTTTCGTTAGGCATGATTTTGCCCACAAGACAGATTGGTCATAAAAAAGTAACACAAAGGCGAATACGACTTTTCCTCTCCGTCCTGCCCTGTCCTTTTTTTATTACTTTTCCTTTCCTTCCTTTTTCAATTTTTACGAAACCATTCTAATTGTAATTAATATGAACAAAATCATTTAAGTGAACGATAGGTCCACTAGATCCAATAAGGAGACGTTGCTCACAGGCTCCTCAGTGGGGAGGATATCTTCCATCCAGAGAAGGGGGAAGGGTATAGGAATTATTTCCGGGAATATGAAGATAGTGGTGAGGAGAGTGTAAATGTGTGAGTGAGTGAGCGAGTGAGATAAATAAGTCAGCAGAGGAGAGAAGGAAACAAAGGAAAGAGGGAAGGAGAAGGAGTTTAATTTGAACGCTTATGATTTGACATACTAATCTACCCCATATTATGTAAAAATATCTTAATTCTTTGCTTCAAAGCCTCACCGCTGAGGTCAATTGTCAGCTCTCTTAGCCGAGTTTTTGGAATATTTTGGACTAGGAGGGTTTCGGGCAGCATTGGACCTGGAATAAAGAACAGCAATATTTATGAAAAGTACATTTGAAAGGCATACCACTGGCTGGTGGTCTGAAAAGAAACTTAGAGGGTCTCGATGGGGTTAACCATTAGCCGTGAATCAGCCGTAAGGTGGAGAATTGGCCGCTCTTAACCGCTTACAAGAGATAGTAACCTGTTTATTTTCTCTTGCCTTTAATAATTAAAAAAGGTTAACCTTAAAATATGTTTATTTTACCGAAGCGGAAAAAAGTTAACTGTTAGCCGTAAATTTTTTTCCGAAATTTCAATAGTAAGCCGTAAAGGTCATCACCCCATCGACACTTACAGATGTGCGTTTAACTTTGCTCAGCAGTTTTGAAAGTTTTGGTTGAAATTTAAAGTGGCGAAGTTATTTCTCTTTATTACATGCAAAAAGAAATCAAAACCGTTTTCTGGATATGTTCTATCCAATTTTCGTTTAGAATGAAGAATGAACGACTTTTTCAGGCTTTTCTTGTGTCTTAATTCCGTACGAAAACGCGTTTCAGAACCACTCACCATCCCAGCTTGCTTACCTGCTGTCCCTGCTGGCATGATTTCTCTTAAATACTTAACAACATCAGTCCTGCCACGATCTTTAGCGTTCCTCGTGAGGCAACGGATCCATTTCTCAGTTTCAGGTTTCGGATCTTCCAGTGAGGCATCATCAAGTTGTAGATTGTGAAGCAATTTATCTATAACCTCTTTTGGGGGGTCCGATGTTAACTGGAGAGATTCGCTAACTTTGTGAGGCAAAACAAGAGATTCGTATCCATTCCCTAAAATATCGGAAAACAACGACAGCGATAAACAAAATGTGCCTAAAAAAAAAAGGTAAAAGGTAATGACCGAAAAAGGTAATGAACATGAGAGAAAAAGGGCCAACCTGATACAGAAATGGAAGGAAAACTATGAATGATCGGCAACGGGGGTAACGCACCCTGCACTCAACTTAAACTAAGCAACGAGGGTATTGCACGTTGCACTCAACTTAAATCAAACAACCAAAATGGTAGAAAGAAAAGCCGAGTTACCTTGTGAAAAAGGGACCAGCGTCCCATCGCTCCCCTGAAATGCATCTCGCCGTGAATAGGCACGTTCTAGTTGATTTGCAGCGGATGTCTGAATTTGAAAATTTCCTGTAGGAGTGTTGCAAACGAAGGTGTTATGGTGAGTAACGATTCTGGACTCTCACGAAGTTAATGAATCATTTTCATGAAAAGCGATGACGTGCGATATTTACGCACGAGTTTCTTTTCACAAAACGAACAAGCAAGGCTTTGCGAGCGAGTGAGTCAGTTTGTTTATTAAATAAAAACTTTCTTGCAATTCAAGGTGATTTATTAAATCGCTTGTACAAGTATCCATATAGTTTTGAAGGCTTTCTAGGTAACTTACAAAAAGGTGCCTTCAAGTTAAATCAAGGCTTGAAATAATAAAATAAAATGCTGAATTGAATTAACTAAGCTTACAGCATGACAATTTCATAACAACGAATTAGTTTTTCGCAAGTATTCATTCGGTAATATACTGAATAAAAAGGGGGAAAAGCTGAACAAAAATAAGTATTTAGTTTTTCAACGCGGCTGGTTCTTACTATGTCAAAAGGTGGACTGTCGTCGTCGTCTGAGGAGACAAAAATGCATTTTATACGTTTATGAGTTTGTTGCTTATGTGCTTCTGCTGAAGACGAGGACGAGTTAAAATTGATGGTGAAAATTGAATGAAATCAGTGGTATGATTTGACAAGTCTCTCCTGATTGGACGAACGCTTTACGCACGTGTAAGAAAGCCATATCGCTGCTCTGATTGCCTACCAGAATTGTTAAGGCGGGTTAAGAAAACGGGGAGTAAATCTCAAGTATGTATATAATAACACACTTTTGAGTGCGCTGAGGATGAAACAATTTTACAACCGAAAAAAGATGAATAGAGACTAACTTTGTGCAAAAGGAACCAGTTTTCCGTCGCTTTCAACGCCTACTTGTGGTTGTAGCTGAACGGATGTTACAGATTTGCAAGGTATCATTGATGTCTCCTCATTTCCACCTAGGAAAGAATTACAAACAAAAAATTTTGAGTGATGAAAGTGCTCAACACTGAAAAAAGGAAATAAAAGGAAAGGAAGATAAGTCAAAGATCGTGCTTATCTAGGCGATGTTCAATGTACTCTGAGATACGGTGTGCTAAGGGTCCACGCTCTGTAATCTGGATCGAGTGGTCCGGGCTCGAGCCCTGCCCGGCTTGTTATGTTGAGAAGGTCAATTTCTCCCCATTGGACTCCCTCCCTCGCCTAAGTATTTATTAGTGCCAGCGAAATGCCGGGGGGAGGGATACCTGTGAAGAATCAGTAGCCCATCTAAGATAAGTAGTAACAATATTTACCCTAGAAGTGCTCTACAGTGACGAGCCCTGGCAATTATGAACCACTGAGGTGGAATGGACGTTTAATTTTTATCTGTTGTTCACGCTGGCGCATATTCTCTCGAGAAATTAACCCCATCAGTTCTATCATAATCCTTAGCATCCCTCGTATGACAACGGATCCATTTTCTATCGTCAGGAGCTGGAGCTTTCAGCGATGAAAGATTCAGCAGTTTACAGACAATATCTTTTGCAGAGACTGATTCGGACTTGAGAGACTGGGAAACATCGTGAGGTAGCGCAAGAGATTTTTCTCCATACTCTAAAATGCGCAAATGTACTTATTATTCATTATTCTGCACGGAAAAACGTTTTTATAATTGTTTCGATGGCAAAAGTATAGTAAGAACACCCTTAACGATAGGCAATAACGACAGGCAAGAAAGAGCATATTCTTGATATAAAACTTAAGAAAAAACAACCATATCATAATGACCCTCTGAAACAGGAACAAGTGTCCCTTTGCTCTCATTAACGGCATCCTGAAGTTGGTTAAATTCTCCTTCGAACTGTTCAGCAACGAGAGGCTGGACTTGACAATATCCTGGGTTCCCTGCTAGGTTAGAAAAGGATGCATTCAAGCCCCTTGTAAGTAAACAGAAATTATAAAATGCGAAAAATTAACAATAATATAAAATGAGCAAATGTAAAACAAGCAAAAAGGAAGAAACTGACCTTGTGCAAAAGGAACTAGCAACATGTCACTTTCAACGTCTACACTTAGTCGTTGTAGCTGAAGTGTTGCCACAGCTTCGCTTGGCAACACGGGTGATTTCCTCTGATATCCATCTGAGATACCTATTTCAAAGAAAAAAATTTGATTGGACGATAGGAATCGTTTATGGTAAGCTTAAAATACGAAACTACAGAATAACTGTGGAAAGAAACGTCTTTCATCGTTGAAACAAATCGACTGACACGAAGTGTGTAATCGAGAGATAAAAGTGGTGGCTAACCTTTCCCAAATTGAGGCCCCCCTTCACGTTGATGAGTCGCTATATGCTGTTGATGAAAATAATAAAAAAAGTCGCCAATATGGGCTCTTATGGGTGAATTGAACCGTTTTCACTCGTTCCCACTCATTTCGGCGAAATCAGTGCGAACGAATGAAAACGAATAATTGCCCAATCAGTCAGTCGTGTATCTAGAGGGGAGCGTGATACTCCGTAAAAAGGCCAGTCTTAATGTGACCTGACATCAAATGACATTCAAAAAAGACTCAGGCAAATCTCCTCGGCATAAAGGCAAAAAGGGCTTCGAGAAACACTTTCAATTATTTAAAAATTTTTATAAAAGTCGAGATCACATTGCGTTCACACGTAAAAGCAGCAAATATTTGCTATTCGCCGTTTAACATATTATAAAAATTATCGATCATGGCAATGCTAAGGGGGATATTTTGGTATCTTTTGATGGTTTTGGCAAGGCAATCTAAGTTATACTGAAATAAATATTTTAGAAAGAAAGAACGTTATAATCACCAACAATTCAACAATTCTCTCTGTTTTTGTAAAATATTATAGATGCATTACCATACACGATCAGTTCTCTCTTTGCTCGTATTTAGAATTGCCGAGAATTTGACAACGAATGATTGTAACAATCTTGCTGCCCAAACGTACCAGCTAATCGAGTGTGTTACTAAATCATGCCAGGAAAAAAACATTTTTCTTACCTTTTCCTTACTAGAAGAAATCCAAGGAGCAAACTGTTCGGCATGAATCCTGTTATCCAAAGCAGTTACAGAGTTGGTACACACGACCTGCTTTTCATTGCTTAAATCTGACTCTGGAATGAAATGAAGGCATTCCTCTTGCTTACAACTTTCCTCGTGGTGTTGTGGGCAGAAGCTTGCCACGCGTCCATAGGAACAAACAGGACAAAGGTAACTCACTTCGCATCTGATGTTCTTCACCCAAAAGAATTTTTTCCACACCCGATCAATGATCAAGGTTAGCTGGTTACGAAAAGCTCGAATTGAGTCCACATCGACCACATCAATAGCACTTTTTACACTGAGGACAACGACCTCAATTGTGGAAGAGTGGCAAAGGAGAACCAGGGAGAGGCTTTGATTCGGAAAGATGTTGAATCTGGCAAAATTGATATAAGTTTTGGGCAGATCTACGCCGGGAAATTCCTTTCTACACCACTGAAAAAATTCCAGCACAAATCGGGGAAATAGGCCAGGCGGGGCCCGACCTGTATCAAATTTGAGAAAAAGAGAGGGGAGTTGGGCAGAGTTTACTAGATCACTTATCTGCTTTGGTGGAAGTGTTCGCAACATAGATGGCACCAAGTAATGTTTGTTGCACAAGTCATCTGATGATGGCCAAGGACACATCAAGCTGAATTTTTCCATAATCGCAATAAGACTTCCGTGGGTTTTTTTCTGAGGAACCAAAGAGTTCCAAACATGTTTGAGGAGGTTTTCTTCCAAGATTCCTGTTTTCTCCAGTTTTTCCCAAAGAGGAGCAAAGTCTCTCTCTTCGTGATAGGCCCTGACAGTTATTACATTCTTGAACACGTCAATCAACCACTGAATATCCAAAGTAACTAACTCACTCAATTCTGGAGAGTCGTCAAAGTGAATCAACACTCGCAGATCGTGCAAAAAGGTAAGCACTGTCTGCACTTCGTTGTCGTTAATGTTACAAATCTTCGAAGCGATTTTTTTCGCTGTCGAGAGGGAGATGAACTTGTGATCCTTTTCCTTAAGGACGCGAAATGCCTTTTCGTATTTCAACCACTTGATCGGAATAGCCTCGGTTACGTGTGGTAACTCTTTAGAAACGTCATGTACGTCCTTTCTTAAGCGCATGATTTCTTTACATTCGGATTCAGTGCCTGACTTTGTGTTATCGACACAAAACACGTCAAACAAGTGGGCACCATATGGCTTGTTCCTTAAGTCGCCAAATATTTCATTGGCTAGTTCAAATGGATTACGATTGCAATAGGGCTGATCAGCATGTGTGCACACCAGGAAAACGGCAGGAAATTTCTTCAATGACACTAAATTTTCGCGGTTCACTTGTTGGCAATCACTCCCTAAGGCAGCCAAAGAACTCATCCAAAAGTCTAAGTAATCTAAGTTCGTTTTCAGATTACATTTATCTTCAATTTTTCTATAAACTCCCTGCTTCACTAATGATGTGGCTTTGTCTCTTGGATTTCTTCTCAAGTCATAGACCAAAAAGTAGATTGCTCTTCTTGTGAGAAAGAGGGGGTGCGTCACGTAATACACTGACTGTCCAGCGAAGTCCCATATCATTGAATAGATGTCTTCTTTATCATCTTCCCAGTTGTCTCGAAAGAGCTGGGGAAGTAACTTCGCAACATCGTCGAAATCTGGCAATTTTTCCAGCGTGGTGGTAAGCAAATCTTCATCTGGTTCTAATTCTGTAGGACTTCGTACTTCCGTCGTTGGTAAATGCGGTTCATCGTTGGTGGTATTGGTTTTTGCTGGTTTTCTAGATGATCCTAGAAGGTCTGCATAACTTGGAATCTCATTGGGTTCACTTTTCTCTGGGGCGTCAAATACTTCAAAATCATAGCCAGCTGACTCGGCTGAACTTGTTTTTTTGACTTCAGCAATTTTTTCATGCGTCGTCAATTTGTCTGCAACCCACCGTGCTGCATTATGCTCAAATGAAATAACTGTAGTATCAGTGTTGGTGTCCTCGTCTTTTTCTCCTGTCTTCCATACTTCAGTGGTTACTTTAAAATGATAACGATCGATCTCAATTCCCAATGTGCTATCTTCATCAGGGTTGAAGCAAATCCCCTTCAAGGACTTCTTCACGCTGGTTTTACCAGACCGATCTTGTCCAACTATCATCAGAGGCACTCTCTTGACGCAAGCTTGACCATCGGCTAGAGCATTTAAGTAGGTTGCCAAAGCTAGAGGACCTCGAGCACGAATCGCTGGAGGAACTGCAACAAACGGAAATGATACTCGTAGTTTAGTTATGCAATGTGAACCTGCCAACTTATTAAAACAATCTATTTCCAAGCTGTACTTTTATAACCATTAATGAAATTGAGATGTTAGGAGCGATATAATAAAAGTGCAAAGAAGCCCACGAGAAACCACAACGGGTTGAAATAATAGGCTCCTTCTAACTCATACTAGCTCATACTTATTTACGACAAAATAACTGGCAAGGTACAAAAAAAAACAGACTTAATCAAAACCGTTTTTAATATACTTATGTGTATCAGATAACTGGGTTCAAAAGCAGTGAAAGAAGTTAAAAAAAAAACAACAAAAACAACAACAAGATGGATTTATGTCAAAAGGAATAGTTTCAGTTCAGGCGTTTTAGAGCTAAGAATACATACACATTTGGTACCTTTGGAAAACAGAAACCTTTCTTGGATTTGTCCTATTTGTACATTGAGGTGTACACTGTCTATTACAGATTATAGATATCTAACGTTAGGTATACTTGATTTTTGAAATATTGCCTCAGTGTGAGCATCGATGCACTCCTCAACATTATTCAAATAATTTTTCACAATATGATCACAACTGCATGCCATGGCAATGCTCCCTTTGCGTCCCCCGAGATTCTCAGGCAAGCAATGCCTTGGGAAAAAGCCCCCATTGTTTAAATGTAATTCTTCTATTCCTCGTTCCATTAGCCATTAGATTCCTCTTTATAACGAAGCACGTCTATGTGTCACTTTCAGTTCCACCTCATTTAGACATACTGAAAATTTACATCAATCCCATCGCCCATGCCTTGATGTCCGTGGCTTTTCATCAATTTTACCTTTTCTTTCTACTCCATTGCTCTTTAAGGCAGCAACAACAAAGCATTGAACTTCCTTGACAAACTCGAGAAACTCTGGTAGCTTTCTCACTAAATTCTCTGGTTGCCACTGCCCACCACTGAGAAGCCTGTCCCACTCTTCGCAATGTAGGTGTACATCAGTCTACCAAAAAAAGAAGTGGAAAGAAATCATAATATAACCTTGATTTGAGTTGGGGTTGTGGTAACCAAGCCATGCCTATAATAGGGTATGAGGGCAGAGATTGGCATGGGTAGAGAGCAGGAGAAACGCCGTTTTTTTGGTATTTTCTGTGAATAGTAAGTTACCTTAATGAAAGAAGTATACGATGATGATAATAAATGAACTTAGAATCAACCCGAATACTTTCACAGGAACTGAACTAAGGAAAAGTTACATTATACGTGACTGAGAAATTTATTTTAAAAGGGTGCTGAAGTTTCGCAAAAAAGGGAGAGAGTTATTAACCCGACGAAACAAGTAAACAGAATTCATTAATACAGCATGAAAGCATTACATGGTGTAAGAGTAAAATCTACTGCGCATAAAAAGTTCAGATGTGAAATTGCCCATAGTTAAAAGTAAAAGAACGTAGTCTCGCCACTTCGACGTTTCTACACAATTTGATTCTGATGGATATCCGCTATTGTTAAACAATTCATTTCAGCGCTGTTTCAAAGTTGTCAAAATATTTCAGGAGTGAATCAAGAGAGTATGGCAAAAATTATGGAAGTCATTAATTACGGGGAAAAATGAAGCAGAGTCGATACCGATTCTCTGAATGTTCCATCTTTCACATCAGCGCTCCAAGATTTTTCTCTAGACAGGATGACACTGAAACCGGGTTTAGACGTGTACACATTTCGTTTGGCAAGCCGCATGTGAGTCAAATGAAATCCCCTAGGCATCTCCTTCTCAGGGAGTCGTAGGCCAAACGTGTCATCATCGGTAAAAGTCAGCCCAGAGAGATATCTTGCTAACATACGTATTACTTCTTCTTCGGGCGCATAATCTACCTTGTTGGCCCTTCCTAATCAAATATATACAGAGAAAGAAATTTACAAGAGGCTAATTAATCATTTTTATTACACCCATTTTGAAAATCACCATTTTGAAATCACTGGTGGTCCCTGTAATCTGATTGGCTCTAATTGGTGCGATTTATTTACGAATCGCACCATTTTTTGCTTTGAGGAAGCTACACTAAAAACAAAACAACCAACCAGATTTCAAGGCTTCTACTGCTCAAGTAGTGTTCATTACTGCGAAGATCGCTTTCATATTCACGTGGCAACTTTTGTTTTAAAAACTCTTATCTTTTCCCCTCAAAAAATGGATGAATTTAATTTCAAACCGGCTCAGTACTGCGTCAATTAAATATTTGAACTGACCAAATCCTGTATTTGCACGATTTCAAAATGGATGTAATAAAGTGGTAATTGAACCTCGTGTCGTGCAATTTTGGTCTGAAATCATATTTGTGATTTCAAATCAAACTGGCGCTGCGCGCTCGTTCAATTCTAAAATCACGCGAATGATTCAGCCCAAATTGCACTCCACTATATATCCCTCTGGCAGGCCTTCTTTTGGGACCTTTTCGAACAAAATCGCAGAATTGATGATTCCACGATTATTCCGATTCCGTAAACCCTGACTGTTGTACTTAAATAAGGGCAAAAAAATGATTTGGGAGGAAAGAGTGTAGTAATATATTAAATTTTGTGGTGATAGAAGCAAACTACAAAAATGTATCTCGCAATATATCGGGTGAGATGAAAGAAAAACTGCATATTCGTTTTTTAAAATACGTCATTGAAGAAAATTTACGTTCAATAAAATAAATTAAAATGTGGAAAGCTTGGATTAATTGGAGTCTTTATTTTTTCTCGATTCAGTGTGGATTCCAAGACTGCAAGATATTTGGGATGAAGTAGAAGGTAATCTATAAACTTAAATTTTTTTTTTATTCTAATTACAGCGAAAATACCTGCATGTTCATTGATTATGAGTCTGCAATCAAACTCGCACCCGGGAAACAAAATATCGGCTTGTAAATATCTCCGTGATGGGAGAACCACCCAACCTCCACATCGTGACCGAGTGGATTCATCGGTGAAGTGAATCTCCTCCATGATATTTCTGACGTCAGTGGCTGGGGTTGGGATTCTTTCAAACTTCTCCTCAACATCCTTTTTCACTACCCAGACCTGAAAAGAATGCATGTTAAGCTTTTGAGAAAAAATTATTGCAACTAATAATGAATTCTTTCAGCTTTCCCATTCGAAATGCTCTGTTTTGTTTTTGCCGTGGCTTGATAAGTAGATATTTAACATTAATGGCTATATGATAATAGCATTAAGCTTACTTAAACCAAAGTTTTATCGTTTTGACACAAGGCAACTTGGTGTAGTCGGTGCTTATTCAAAACTGTTAAGGCCAGTTATGCTAACAAGGTTTAGCTGTTGTTTAACAAAACGGCACTCCAAGCCATCTTTAATGTAGAAGATCCTTTTATCTGAACATTTACTTTTGTGAACAGTGTAAAGAGAGCCGATAGCTAATAGTTAAAGGACAATTATTCAATGGAATCAACGTTCCCTCCAGAGGAGAATCCCTGAGGCCCACTGTCTCTGTAAAATTGCGGTTTGGGTTAGGCCTATGTAAGAAACCGGCCCTTACGGTTTGGTTCAGCTTTCTTGATGTGCAAAGAAACAACTTCGAAACTGCCCACAATGTACAACGATAAGAACACCTTAGTTCATTCGAATTTTATTTCTTTATTTACCAGCCATTATTTTTAAAGTTTTCGTCCTGTAATGAATTGCTTTTAGTATCATAAAAGCCACCGACTTTGTGGAAAATTTAACCAAGCCTGTTGTTAAAAATTGGGCGAGTCGCCGCCCATGTAATCAGACCCTTGAACTGACTTACCTTGCATCTCAATTGATGACTGCATGGAGTAACGAATGCTAAGTCAAATCTTGCGGCGTAATTACGATATTCTTTCGGCGTATTTTCATAGAAATAATTCTGAAATAAATCTGCTATGAAATCCACGCCTTCTTGAAATGCAACCTTCCAATAATTTCCATCGGCAGAATATTCAAACCTTGTTGTTGCATCATCTATACTCCACTCTCCTGATGGGAAACAGACTTTATTTGAGCTTAGTTTGTATTGTTGATAATCACAAATTTGAACATCTTTGATTTGAATGCTTGAGTGTGTAAGAGGAAGGGAAGATATTGCATTTAATAAGTTAAGAATGATGATAATGAATACTCATATAGCGCTGAGCGCTTAATGGTAATATCACACTTCATTACATCCATTTCAAGTGAAATCACTGGTGATCCTTGCAAATCTGGTTGGCTCTCATCAGTGCGATTTATTTACGAATCGCACGATTTCGTGCTCTTAATCGCATCTTTTTCCCTGCCAATGATATAACTTAACTAAAACACAACAAACCAATCAAACTGCAGGAAAGTGAAAGACAACTTTTTAACTTTTTAAAAACCAGCTCAAAACTAGATCAATTAAAGATTTGTTAAGACTAAAACAACGTGCACTTTAGCAACAAATTTTGACGATTTTAAAGAAGATGTAATAAAGTGGTAATTAAACTCTGTGTCGAGCAGTTATGGTCTGAAATCATACTTGTAATTTCTACTCAAAATCGCCCTGAATTATGCAATTGCCAAACGAAATACAATGTGACCTTCATATACCAATGGAAAAAAGAGCAAAACATAAACAAAAGTGAAATGAAAGTGTAAAGTTATCGAAAGGGTAAAGGGGTAAAACGTAAATTAGCCACCGTAAAGGGTAAAAAAGCTGACGTTTCGAGCGTTAGCCCTTCGTCAGAGCGATGGACGAAGGGCTAACGCTCGAAACGTCAGCTTTTTTACCCTTTACGGTGGCTAATTTACGTTTTCAACCCAGTTGTTAACACTAAATTACCTAGTGAGATGTCAAGTTGAACACGAAAGAGAAATTTCATTTCTACAAGCAATCATGTTTTACTTTGTTTATCACATCGCTCTGACGAAGGGCTAACGCTCGAAACGTCAGCTTTTTTACCCTTTACGGTGGCTAATTTACGTTTTCAACCCAGTTGTTAACACTAAACTACCTAGTGAGATGTCAAGTTGAACACGAAAGAGAAATTTCATTTCTACAAGCAATCATGTTTTACTTTGTTTATCACATAAACGCAATAGCCCTTTACTGACAAGAGAAGTCCACTTAATCAATGAATGGAAATAAAAGGATCGACACTTCGAATAAAAATCGTAAAGTGCGTTGGCGCACTCAGGATGAAAACATGCATTGAATCACTACAAAAAAAAACAACGGACCTAGTTTTCAAAATTCTCAGTTATTAAATTGGTCCTTACCGACAGAAGAATTCTCTCAGGTACAAGGTCAAAATCGGCCTGTGGCAAATCTTTTAGTTATTGACTTTCGTTCTCAGCCACGAGATATGCCATCACTAAAGCAAGTCACTGTTTGTAAGCGATATGGATTTTTCAGTGTTTTAGCATCCATAGTCCGAAAAATTCCGAAAGGCGAGAGACGTGTCAGCAGCTGATTGGCGATATCAAACGTGCGTAAAAAAAATATCGTTTTATTTTTTTTTCCACGTGTGTTGTCACAGCTTTCCTAAGGGCTGGAAAATCCTTGTAGAATACTGTAGTTTATATTATAAAATGATAAATTTAATATCATTTTGTGATCTAGTCGCTAATTCTCATGAAAACCGTCAGAACGTGCGATAAACCAATTAAAGCACCGGAAACTGAATGAAATATCGGCCACAAAGGCGAAGCTGTAATTAATTTAAGGCTGAATGAAAGCAATGACACGGAGAAACTAGGCAGAAATTGTAAAGAAAACCATCGAGAAAAAGCGATATGTGAGATGAAGGCACAAACTACATGGTGCTACTGAAGAATACTTCAACTTGGATGGAGAAAACGCTATTTTTGTGGCCAGAATTGGCCTACCACTACGATTGCAATCTGATAATCTGTACGGAAAGTTTTTAAAAAGTTTGCAAGCCTAGGAAGCAGCTTTGAAAAGTTCTGAAAGTTTTTCATCGAAATGAAGGTCGGGTGTACAGTTTCAACGGGTAAAATTTATTTCGATTATTTCGGTTAATAACATTATTAGCCTGCACCACGACAAAAGCGGCAAAATCGAAAACAACAACATAGAGCCGTGTGTACTGATTCTAATACTGTCCAGCTAGCTTGCCTACTCGCGGCACACTGTTTTCCTTGAACCAATTTTATTTCTATTGCCTCAGTTTGAATAAAGTGCTTTTATGGAGTCCTCGTTAAAATGTAAAACAAGTGCTTAAAACGCTTAAACTTGGCAAAAACTATCAAGTGAAAGCTGAAATCGTAGACAGGAAAACTGATTTCTCAGAAATCTTGAATGTTCATTTACTTTGTAAGTGGTTTTTCTTCTCGTGTAAATAAGATTTTCAGTAGATTTTCGTTATTTTTTAGCAACAATTTCCTAGTAAAAAAAATGCCAACTTTTTCTTATGGGGAATTCTAGTTGATAATTTCTAAAGTTCTTTCACTTTAACCGCGAAGCGCCGGGTAAGTAAAGGCTTCAAACGGAGCGAGCAGCTGTTAGTTAAACTTAACTCTGAATAGAAAATATTTATAATGCTAGAAAAATTAAATCTTTTTCGTTGTTTTTTGCGTTCAAAGTATTCTCATTGTTTCCTCCAAACCAAAGGCCTTTAGCAAATTCAAATCCGAGAATTTGCCCCGTGTGGTGCTTGTTCACAGGAAGGGAAGATGTTTCAGTTTTCTATGGGTATACAGGCAAATATACATGCAAATATATATGCCGGTCACTTACCTTCATTAGGTCCGCGGATCACAGCCGATCCAAAATGACACCAGATATCAGCCTCTAAAGGATTCTTTGCTTCTCCATGGCGTTTCATTTTACGGAGTGATTCCAACACAGCGTCTTGAAGTTTGGACAGATAACGCGAGTCGCTCACAGATTTCTGATAACAAAAGAGCCCAAGATTTTTTTTTTAATTTATTTTTTTGTTTTAATAAAGCATTTCTCACATTCACATACAAAATAGAAATTAAGAAAGAAAAAAGAGAGAGAGAAAAAGACACACACATGCACTCACTTGTATAGTACAAATAGAAGAATATCAAGTTAAACACACACACAAAGCTATTATAGCAATACAGTTACCTAGTATGTAAGTTACCATGGCATCACTTTAAAACTAATCATGGAAATTAATCATGACTTTACTTATTCGTAAAAATGCTTATTAACTTTTCCCACTTTCTAAAATGATTGTCTAATTTGTCTCTTTCCCGGCAATATGGAGTTCGATATTGTAAATACGCCTTGTCCTGGCTATAAAACCTTGAAGAGAAGGTATACCATTCCAGTATTTCCGTGAGTAAATATAAAACTTACCCAGAAGCAGAATATGGTTAAACAGGAGAAAATATTCTGCAATATCGAACTTAACAAAAATGACATCTTCCTCTTCAAGGCTATCAACAGAGATGTTATAATCGCGCAACCAGGACAAGACATGTTTCCAAAAACTAGATGATACTCTAACTAACGTCAAAAAGGTTTTTGAATGAGGATTTGTAGCTTCATGAGCTTCGTTTTCCCCCAATTTTAGGCTGATCATCAGCACCACATATAAGACGTCTTTAAAAGAGAAGCACCTCACGATTTCAGGCAACACTTGATATTAAGAAACGGAAACCGCTGACGAGACCAGGGGATTATTTTTGGACTGTATATAGGTTTCCTTTTTCGCGCTGATCGGAGACTTATCGACAAAAACATTGAACGTATATAAATCGAGCCAATTCTCAAAAAGCGAAAAAAAAAATGGAAAAGAAAATGCATTGATCTTTTGAATTATTTCGAGAGAAAATTATTTTAAGGAGGCCTTCTTCGTGAGCCGGTTTGATGGTGGATAACGATGAATTTTGAGGGTTTGGGTCTCTAGACCAGATTTTTTCCGTACAATCAAATTTACATATTAACGGCGACTGTGAAATCTCTTTCCAAAACCTACATTTCATTTGGTTGGCACCATGGAGAAGGAAGGTCCTAAAAAGGAGATTCCACCAGATATCTTTTGTCGGTAACAAATCTTTATGATAAGTGTGGCACAGATACTAGTGACTCAGTATTTTTCGTTGTGACCCTTGAAGAATGAAAAACACCTAGTCTACATACATTTAATTGATAGCAGACCAACGGGCAGGCTGTGTAAACGCCGCAAAAATGAATTCATTAAGAAGAAGGGTAGAGAACTTAAGCCCGCGACCATCAGATCACAAGTTCAACTCTCTAACACACTGCCATGATAAGTTTACATTATCTTGTTATAAAAAGGTATTAAATCAAGCCCATTTTAAGGTCCTCGTTTATGGCCAACCAAAGTATATAGCCCTACACAAAGTTGTCGTTATTTTTGCCAACGATTAGTATATTAAGGACAACACACCTGTTGGCCTACTTCACTTGAAGGTCTCAGTCGATATTGCTCTTCTTTTTCAGGGACCAAAACCAACTTCAGTTTACAGTTTTCAGAGAGATTCCAGCCATCAATGAAGCCACAGACTTTATTAAATTCGTTTCTTACCCCTCTCAGTCTTGCTCTAGCCTGAAATTGAAGTCTTCTTTAGTAATTTTATAGATCATTCTTTGTGATTAAGAAAAAACAACTGTAGATGGCTGCCTCAAAATCTCCCCTTTTTATTACTGTCCACAGCATTCGTGAGTAAGGATGATGTTACCTAGCCAGAAAAACGAACATCACAACATTGGCAGTAAGTGCCGCGCGAAAATTGAAACTTGATGATATCTTGTGATGGAAGCAAACGCTTTTATGGGTAAACACAATGCTCATGATGCGACAAAAACGTACTCATTGCGATATTAAAAAATTGATATTAAAAACTGCTTACAATTTTTATTCCAATGAGCTGTTTAACATGTTTCCTTTGCTTCTTTGTTCCTTTCGTAATATGCACCTCCCCTCCTTTCCGCGTTACTTCTGCTCCTGTTTCGTTGCTTAACTCATGAAGATTAGCTCCGTGCCTACCAATTATTAAACCTTTATATCTGGATGGAATTTCCATCTCCTCAAAAGTATTAATCTCTATCTCCTCCTGTGAAGAAATTGATATAGAAGTTTTAAACTTTCAAGAAAATAAAACTGAATTGTAATATGTAGAGGGAAAGCTTATAACATCCTTACTGATCCCCGCTCCAATTAGATGAAACGGATTTTTTTTTAATTAAAAAAATTAATTTGTTTTAATTAAACATGCATATGGTTCGTCATAACCATCTATCTATGTGATCAGAGCTAGTCTTATCCGAGAGTGGACAGTTTTTAGATCTGCATTTTTAAAAAAACTTACCACCTTTTCCAAAATAAGTTTCCTTGCTATTTCTCTCTGCTCTGAATCCCCAAATATAATAAATCCTTCCTCGTCTCCCTCTGTTGAGGTGATTGTCGCCCCAGACGTCTGTCTTATTGTATTTAAAACGGCTCCATCCCTTCCAGTAACATGACTTTTGAACTCCCTCGATACTGGCACAAATTCACTCTCCATTGACAGCGAGATTCAAATGATCTGAAAACCATGAGTACTTTAATAATTTGAAAGTTCCCGTAGTTAATAATGCTAAAGCAAGTATGTAGGCCAAGAAAAAAATAACAAACCAACACAAGGTAAGAAAACCGAAACAAACAAGCTTAATTATCATTTAATTATCAAAATTTTCAATTGGGGTTATTTCCATCACCAACACTATTCATCTTTATTATAGTATGAATGATTTAAGTTTTCCAATCATGGTTTAGTTTGATTCTTGATGAGCTTGTCTTATGTGGAGTGGACAACGGAATGGAATTACGGAAACATTCTTGACAGGGAATTACTCATCTAATAAAGTTTAGGAAAGGAAGTACAAGCAGTGTTTCCATCATGAGATCTACGCTGAGTTATAACATAAATCGACCAGCACCGATAATTTGGGCAGAAACTGAACCAGTGAAAGACAAAGGCTCTTTCGACTTCCTTCTTCCTTCGTTGACTTCAATATACTACTGCCCTGAAAGCCTCCATGATGAAATGAAGAATTCATAAAATAGGAAAGTAAACACAACATCGAGCATTGAAAATTTACCCTGAACCACAGTAGCCTGCGGAAGAAGATATGTCAAGACATAGTCGACAATTTCAAAATTCAACCGAATGTGCTTCCACGTAAGTTATATGCCATTTCCGAGTGGAAATTAAGTCAGGGTTTGATGGCATCTTACTTTCTCTAGGGAAGCTAACAATTTCCCTTAGTTGGCACCTGGCCGTAAGAAGTCTTAAACAGCTACCGTTCTTGAAAGTAAACACTGTATTGATAAAAACCATCCAAGCGGAATTTGAGACATTAATCAAGAAAACAAGGCGGCTATACCGAAGGACTTATCTACGCTCCATATAATCTTCACGTTAATCTTTCGTTTACTCACTTAAGAAACACAGGCTTCTTACTATTATTTCAGATTTTCTCTTTAAGAAGGAGTCTCTCATATAGGAGAAGTAACTCATCGATGAGCTTCTGTGGAAAGCCTATTGCGCAATTACAGTATGGGTTCCGATACGTAGTGAATTATAACATTCCCTATTTTAAGACAACCGATTATTTTATAGCGACTGGTACATTACTCATCTCATAATCATCATGTTTGTTTGAATCACATATTGAAACTTGTTGAAAGATCAGGCGCTACGTTACTATTATCAATCTACACGGTACCTTAAATAAATGCCTGCTGCCACTGATTGATATCAAATGGTGCAATGAAAAATAACCTTGATGTCATACACAACCGTTTATTTTCCTGTTTAGGTTCACTGGGTTTGTCTTACTTATTTAAGGCGAAAGTGAAATTCTATGACGAAAGAGGGTTATCCTGCCATTGTCTGAGGCTCGATTACATTTGTGTCTTACCATTGCCTCCGCTGTTACGTGTAGTTTCCTCCACAGATCGTCTTTTAAAACGGGCTGGAAGAGCCCGTCGGTCGATCAGTCGATCGCCACCACCTTTTGTAGCTTAATTAAATGAAAATAGTTTGGTTTGGAGCCGAGATGTTTGAGAGAGGCGAGCGCGTTGCAACCAGAAGTACTTCCGTTATGGCCGATGTGGTGCTCGGTTAGACAACAAGAATGCCTAGCGATCGCAAGGCATGATGGAATTACTGCATATTGTCATCACGGAGACTGCTTTGGCCTAGATACAAAAATCCCGAAAAATGGTCCAATATTCAGTTCGGAATAAATATAAATCTCATTTTAGAGAAAGATGTTTTTACATCTTGTCTAGAGCGTGGGACAGGGAAAAAAAATCTGAATCCCCTTGAGGAATTCGGATTCCGCACTCCGATGCTGTACTACTAAGCCACAGAGGCTCCATGGTGAGCAAGGCCCATTACGAATTTCATATATGACACACATCCTGCACACTGTTAGGATCAGCAATGCCGTTAGCGTAATGTTTTGTGAATAGAATAAGAAAGATGGTAAGTTTGAGTAGTTTGACTTTCTATAATCTCTAAAAATCTCGAAATTTTCTTCAAAAATCCCGATTTAACCCAAAATTTTTTTTCCGAAAAAATCCCATAATTTGAATGAAACGCAAGATTCCTATGATAAAATCGCCTGGAAGCACCTTCAAACTAATTCAAAATTACAATTTTTTTTACTAGACAATGCAAGTGGTTCGTTAGTTTAGTCTCCTTGCATATTACTCTTCTAAACAATTAATAACGACAATAAACAGTTTAAATATGAAGGCGATCTTCGCAGTAATGAACACTTTCCGAGCAGTAGTGAAAATAAGGCCTGAAAAAAATTCAGGCCCGTACGGGATTTGAACCCATAACTTTTGCGATACCGGTGCACTGCTCTACCAACTGAGCTAACAAGCCAACTGAGAGCTGGTCATTATGTTGGTTCCAAATAAACCCGTGAAGTGATGAAAGGTGACCAAACTCTACCTGTAAGATAAGACCGCCAAAAGGAATAAGAAATCATCAACTGGCTTATTACAATGTTTACTGAATGGTTTATGCTAATATATTATTTCTATTCATTTTCCAGCACCAATATAACAAACCCTTACGATGTTTCTAGATTAGATATATTACTATTTTTATCGTTTAATAAATATGTTTATGTAATAAGCTCAGTTATGCACGCATTCTGATTGGTTCTCACTTATGATCTATTGGAGGACAGACGCATAGATGACGTCATCATTAAAACTTTTGCCCTCTGTTATTTTAAAATGGCGGAAAGTTTTGAAAATTTAGACGATATTTTAGCTGACCGGGTGAACGAAGATTTCGAAAAAAGTTTTGTCGAGGCTGTGGACAGTTACGATAAACAGGGGAAAGAAAGAAAATCACGTTTCTCTGTCGAAAACGACTTGACAAAACTACTTGAGCAGTCGCAGTCGAACGCGACTAAACGAAACACGTTCGTAAGAACATCAGTGACACACTCGGCTGCACCTCGTGTGCCATTTTTTTGTTCTTACCACATTTTGACGTCATCTGTAATCTATTACCGAACAGACGCACGGCAACTTGGAATCTATTTGTTAAGCAGAATTGCTCTGAGCCAATTATGTAAAGAAATGTTACCTTCTCAATCGATTGGCGTTGCTTAACGGAGAATGGTTACCTGCAATTTCCCTCTTTCATTTGCACTGTTTTCCATCATTCCAAATACTATCCGCATAGAAAATGACATAATTGAATCAAATCTTCGCAAAAATGCTTGCGCCTATGGAGGGGGACATTGGAAGCTCACGACTAACCACATATATTTCTGATGTATTTTGGATGCTGTTAACAAAAGGAACTAAAAAATAAATAAGCTAGTGCAACGTATCTTATCAACACCGTGACTCGCTCTTGATGATATTCGCTAACAACGTCTATTGGACTGCGCATGTCTACGTGCCAAAGACCATACCATAAACGTAGGACAGTTAGAATTCAACAAATACATGTACGAAAGGTAATCTAATTATTTTGTCATTGTCAAATCAACGAAGGAAGGATGGTTTCCTAAATTAGCTAGGTATAAGCTATACGATAAGCTTAACTTTACACGCATTTTGATACAGCATTTTAAATTTTTCCATTGACAAAATTTTACTTCGTCATGTGGCCCTACGTCTGTGCAGTAATAAATCAGGGAAGAATCAGGTAAGACCGTTGGTGACACGCTCTACTGCGCCTTACGTGCCACCCTTTTGTTCTTACCACATTTTGATGTCATCTGTGATCTAAAATAATGAACAGACGCAAGGCGACGTAGAATCCATTTGTCGGTTAGAGAACTGGTGCAGTGGTATCGAATCGTTTTTGCACTGAATATATTGTACTTTTTTGCGACAGTATGAATTATGAAAGATACATTCCATCAAATAATTGATTGATTGATGAATTATTAACAATGGTACAATTACTTTCTCCCACACGTTATCCTCTCGAGAAAAAATATATCTCATAGAAGAACAGCTTAAAGTCGTTGATGATCCCTTGATTTGATGTATCATATCGCTTATAACAGGCTGATTAAATTTTCAAGTGTCTACGTTGCTGTGGCGCAGTTCACCGCTAATAACACTCTGAACTTGTTTAACAAATTGAAGAAACTCAGGTAACTTCGCAACGATGTCCTCAGCCCCCAATTTTCATTCTTTAATTTTCGTCCCAGTCTTTGCAGCGTAGATGCAGAACGATCTGCAAAAAAAGACGGTTTTATCAGTAGGTTTACATGCTAAAAATAAAATGTGTCAACAAACGTTGAAAATCGAAACTTTTCTTGATTGACCGAAATAGAAACTGCGATTACAGGTTGCTCGTGAAGGCAATTATTTATTTAATTACCAATGTATTAAATTGTGAGTGTCTAATTCAATATGCGAGTATGTTAGTTACAATAATGATGACAATAATAATATTTATACTGTTTTTTTTTCCTCTTTTTCCTCTATATTGCAGAATAATGACATCTCCTTTGAAAGGATAACGAAAAATCCAGCTTGTGACGAACAAATATTTCCTTCGACAAAGTTTCCTCGGCAGGGAGATTTGGTTCATTTACTTCTTCATCTTCCATGAACGTAAAAGTTAGTTTGGACAGATATAACACACAGCTTGTCTTTCATTTTCGTCAAGATCTGCTGCATAATTGGTAGAGACGGCATCAAGTATAAGAAAAACATTATTGTGATGTCTTCGGTCAAGTTAAACACACGAGACTTAAAAGCATGTATCATCTACTAAAAAAGCAACATTTTATCTCAATCTGAGATGATCTCCATTTTTCTAATGGTATTTAAGTTTTATACGTTGTTGCATTAATTTCGATCAGAAGTTTCAAAAACATTTATAGTTTCTTACATCCATCCAGTACTTCCTTTATCTATTTTACCTATTGGTAGATTTATTGGCCAAGTAGCCAACTGGCAAATTTGACTCTGACACCTTCTTTAAATGCGGTTTTTCCAGTAATCCTGTCCTCCCTGAGTTTGGAATTTTTCGTTGCTTCTTCAATACTCCATTGTTCTTCAACTAAAACCTCCGCTGTAATCAATCAAGTGTTTTATATTTTTACTAATGCAGGTCTAGCCGGAGTCAATTTCAGATCTTAATGATAAGGACGCCACATGTGATTCTTGGGTTAATTTTGTCATTATTCTTATCATCATTTAGATTAGTGAGAAGCTAGACAATAGTTGCAATAGGTGCAATAGACTTTATGACAATTTATTAACGTTTATCACATATTTATTCATATTGAATGAATACTTTCAAACAGAAGAGTCAATACTCATAATAAAAAAAAAATCATAATCAATAAGTTTACCTTCATCAGGTCCGCGGATCACTACTTTTCCGAAATTACGCCACATGTTGGCCTTCGACCCCTTTACCGTTTTAATTCTGCGCAGAGATTGCAAAGCATTTTCTAAAATCGTATGCCATGCTATCAACGCAACCTGATTCCTTACGCAGAGAAAACAGAGGAAAACTTTTACTGATTTTCCCTCATAATTGAGAATTATTCACCAAAGTGGAAGTGGCTAGCGGGAGAAATTTACCTCGCCGCTTCGAGGCTCGATAAATATCCACCGCTAGCCATCGACACCGAGGCGAATAATTGTTTTAGTATATGCTAAAATACTGAGATAAAATAACACAAAAAGATGACCCATTCCGACAACAATTACGAAATTTTCGGGCGCCAATCCCGCGCGAGTTGCTCGGCGGTGAATAGCAAAGGAATATCCAGAGTTTGAGTAGCAAGTCAGAGCGCACTTTCAACGCTATCCACTCTTTTAGTATATACTTATAGTCTTTAGCGGCCCTCTCTTCCCCACAACCCGTAATGGAATCTCTTCTTTTATATGCGGCAGTTTCTAAGCAACAACGAGAACATCCTTTCGCAGACGCATAACTAGTGGACACTTGACTCACTGCCTGACTTTGTATTATCTACATAATACAAACCGTACAACTGCGTAACATAGGGTCTCCCTCTAAAAGTTTTATACACTTCTGCCGCGAGTTTAAGGGGATCTATGCCATCGTAATGTTCATAAGCGTGGGGTCAAAATGCAAAACCACTGGAAGATTCTGATTCTGAAATGTACGCTTTACTATTTTCTTGAAAAGAACTCCCTTCCCCGATCCACTGTTGTCGCTGCCACTATCTACTAATACAATACTGGTCTTATGATTATGGTTTAAATCCCAAATAACATTTGTCGAAAGATCACGGGATCTATTCTTTAAGTACTAAATATCACAACAGAAAGGAGACAGTAGATTGCTGTTACCCATGATGCATGCCAAATACCGCAAAGGGAATACAGCTGGGGTATCATAAACCCATGTGCACTTTCCTTTTGACACCTCTTAGTGACAGGAAATTCGATTGTGTCATTCAAAGCCGTCATTTTCGAGAGAATCGAGCTTTAAAGCAACCGGAGAAACTTTCGCCATCGCCGATGATATGCCTGGATGTTAAACGATTAATTCGAACCTTGTGCCCAGGGGTTTCTCGGTCAGTTTTCAAGACGGAGGGGAAGGGTAAAAGAAACCTTCAAAACACACCTCTCAAAAACGACTGCCGATTGGCGCCTTTCTTGTGTGACATTTCATTAGTTTAATTCGTTCAATTATGAATTAGCCTTTGCTATTTAGATGACCCCAACTCCCTCACTATCTAGGTTTTACAGTAGCTATTTTTTTCTTATTTCAAAGGAGGTTTTGAAATTCTTGTCTGCATATTACTAATTTGTATTTGTTGTAGACTGAACTGAGTTGAAGTCGCAAGTCTCCCTACTAAAAAATATGACTGCTGACGATTTGATGAAAATGTGTCCGTCAAGAACATTTGATAGTTTGTAAAAAAATAAATAATGATTACATGAATAGAAATGAGTCTTAAAATATGACAAATTACAAAATAGAACTGAGCCCTCGAGACAAACATATTTTGTCTATTGTCAAAAAATTATATTGTAATTCTTCCAGCCCTAAATAAACCAAAACAACAACAAAAAAACGAAAACCTAACAAACATAGAAATTAAATACAACTTGTGCCTTTGTTTCGTAAATCTGACTCTGAAATGAAGTGGAGGAATTCCTCATGCTACAATTTCCTTTTTAATGTTGTGTGAAGAAGCTGAACACGCGTCCATGAGAACAGAATGGACATAAGAAACATTTCACATCTAATAGATTTCACCCAGAATAACTTACTCCACACGTAGTCTATCGTCAAGGTTCGCTAGCTGTAAAAAGCTTAGATTTAGGCCATGTTATCCGTATCGATATCCGTTTCCTTTCGGTATAATAATCTCAATCACAGAAGAGCGGCAGTGGAGAAACATAAGGAGGCCTTTATACGGGAAAATATAAAACCTGATGAGTCAATTATTAAAATTTAGACGGTGCTAAACTAGGAAATTGTCATCTATACCGTTAATGCAAGTCTTGGAATTGAACCTGAAGAGACCCGAAAAGAGGTACTTTGTGTAGATTCAGCGAGATATCTAATGTGTTCAGACGAATTCGTTTGCAGAATAAATGGTACCAAGTACGCTTGTTGCACATTTCATGCGCTTATTGTACCGGACGTAACAAGCTGAATGTCTCTAAAATCGCTTCAGGTTTTTGTGCGATTTTGTCAGAGCAATCAAAGGACTCCAAGCTTGTTTAAGGTGTTTCTCTATAACGATCCCCTCTGTTTTGAGTTCTTCTCCTAAATTAGCGGCTTCTAATCGAGGGCGGCATTTAACGGAGTAAAATTTGCAATCCGTTCAAATACTTGATGGTTGAGTCAGTTGCTTCCGTCAAAGTGGAAGACAACTACCGGTTTCAAAGAATGTCGGCAATGATAGGCAGCCCACAGTCTTTCAAAACGTCATAAAGATCTCCAACAGTTATGAGATATCTTTTTGCAGCGACAATCAAAACTTCCAACACTTGGTTCATTGTGCGCTTGTCCAAAAAACGTATCTCCGCAGGGGTCAGTCCCAGTTTCTCAGCAAATAGCTCCCAATCGTCTCGACCTACAAAAATAAGCATCGAAGTATTTTCAAAACATATTGCTATCTGCCCTCGACCTTTTCCCTTGCAAATTTCTGCTCAATATTTTAAAACACCTGGCTGATGTTTCCGATGCGAGAACATTACGGAACATTTTGTTTTCGTTAGGCATTTTTTTTCGCATAAGACAGATTAGTCATTAAAAAAAGCAACACAAAGGCGAGTGCGGCTTTTCGTTTTTCTGTGCTCTATCTCTCACCCCTCTCCCGTCCTGCCCTGTCCTTTTTATGACTTTTCCTTTTCTTCCTTTTTCAGTTTTTACGAAACCATCTTAATTGTTACTAATATGAAAAAAATCATTTGAGTGAAGGATAGGTCCACTAGATCCAATATAAAGACGTTGCTCACAGGCTCCTCAGTGAGGAGGATATCTTCCATCCACAGAAGGAGGAAGAGTATAGGAATTATTTCCGGGAATATGAAGATAATGTTGAGGAGAGTGTAAATGTGTGAGTGAGTGAGCGAGTGAGGTAAATAAGTCAGTAGAGGAGAGAAGGAAACGAAGGAAGGAAGGAAGGAAAAGGAGTTTTATTTAAACGCTTATAATTTGAAACACTCATCCAGCCTTATTATGTAAAAATGTCTTTATTCTTTGCTACAAAGCCTCACCGCTGAGAGTAACTGTCAGCTCTTTTAGCTGAGTCTTTGGAATATTTTGGACAAGGAGTGTGTCGGGCAGCATTGGACCTGGAATAAAGAACAGCAGTATTTATGTAAAGTACATTTGAAAGGTAGACCGCTGGCTAGTGGTCTGAAACTAAACTTAGAGGGTCTAAGTGGAGTTAAACGTGAGCCGTTGAACAGTAAAATGAATCAGCTGTAAGGTGTAGAAATGGACAAATTTTTAACCGTTTACAAGAGATTATAACCTTCAAATTTCAAGTGGCGAAGTTATTTCACATGCACAATAGCAAATGAACAACTTTTCCCGGCTTTCTTATGTGTTCTAATTCCGTATGAAAACGCCGTTTAGAACCACTTAATTACCGTCTCAGCTTGCCTACCTGCTGTCCCTGCCGGCATAATTCCTCTTAAATACTTAACAACATCAGTCCTGCCATGATCTTTGGCATCCCTCGTGAGGCAACGGATCCATTCCTCAGTTTTAGGATTTGGATCTTCCAGTAAGGCATCATCAAGTTGTAGATTGTGAAGCAATTTACCTACAACCTCTTTTGGGGCGTCCGATGTTAACTGGAGAGATTCGCTAACTTTGTGAGGCAAAACGAGAGATTTGTATCCATTCCCTAAAATATCGAAAAACAACGACAACGATAGACAAATGAGCCACAAAAAAATCTAACATTATCCTGTCCACGACCAAAAAAGTTAATGAACTTGGGGAAAAATGGGCAACCTGATACAGAAATGGAGGGAACACTATGAATGATCAGCAACGGGGTAATGCACGTTGTACCAAACTTAAAATTAAACAACCAAATCGGTAAAGGAACAAAACCAAGTTACCTTGTGAAAAAGGAACCAACTTCCCGTCGCTCTCCTGAAATGCATCTCGAAGTGAAAGAGCAGCTTCTGGTTGATTTCCAGCGGATGTCCGAATTTGGCAATTTCCTGCAGGAGTGTTGCAAATAAAGGCGTTATGGTGACAAACGATTCAGGGCTCTCATTAAGTTCATGAAAATAGCTTTGAATGCGCTAAGGATGAAATAAGAAAAAAGATCAGTAGAAACTAACTTTATGCAAAAGGAACCAGTTTCCCCTGTTGGAGAGCCGTGGAACTGTGATCTAAGATGTTAAAATATTCATCCGAACATAGAGTGCGGCGTTCTTGAGAATTTTTTAAATGTCTGAAAATGTGAGAGTACCTATCACTTACCAAGTGCTTACGCACACACACGTGTGGATAAATGCTGAGAGGTTTCGCCGACATTGGCAGGCAGTACAGCCCGCACATAAAAACTTGTAAACTGACACACGCACGGACCCCACAACGGATAGGGTCTTTCACACCAAACATATTACCAATTTTAAATGATGAAAAAACAAACTTTTAAGTAGATATTAAAATAGATATTAATAAATATATTAATAGATACTAAAATATCTATGTTATTACAATAGCACTTAGCAAAGTGGCGAACCCTTTTTGCGTGACAACAGGAAAAGGGCCAATGTAATGTAATTTGAAATATAAGGTCGGCGCAGTGTTTGAAACGGAAGGGCGGATTGTATTCATTACGGGTCAGCGTGAGGTACCGATTGACAACCCTTTCAACTCAATGGGATGGAAAAAGATTCTTTTTGGCAAGTGTCTTGATGTCTTCGCGGAAACCCAACCATGTGATGTTGATCTTGTAGGCTCTATCAACAAGAGTGCGAATGAGACCCAATTTAGAAGAATAAGATATAAAGCTAAAATAGTTAGTCAACAGGCCCGCGAAGGTAAACACTTGTGACTGGAAAATGGGTGTTATTGCTGTTTAAAACATCTAGGAATGGTATGTTACGGTCTATTTCTTTTTCCCTAGTGAACTTAATGTTGGGATGCTTGGATCGGAGTTTATGTAATTGAAAAATAATAGTGCGTCATTTTTCGAATGAAATAAACAAAATGTATCGTCAACATAACGGCGGTAAAATAATACCTCTGAGCCCTACCAATTTTCCAACCATAACTTTTCATTATGTCCCATAAATAAGTTAGCTGTGTTGGGATTTGTGAGCCTGTGGGATAGATACTGCTTAAAAGCCTTTTCTCTGTAGCCGCAGCTCAGATTCATCTCTTATTTAAAGGGTCTTTTTACGTCCAGATAGATGGTGTAGCTATGGGCTCCTCCCCCTTGCTCCTTGTACTTTGTACAAACCAGAACTGAAGATAACAGAAGAACTGTCGAAACATGTCGTGGCTATCCTGTCGTTCAAGCGGGCCACCACCGCGCCCAACACATTGATCTACATTCAGCATAACAAACGGTACAGAAGGAAAATACTGATCGCATTCCATTCACTCTCACATTTCACACTCACAACCATGCAGTTAAATCTATCATTCTTAAAAACTTAAAAGAGTCTCGCGCTGACGAAGGGCTAACGCTAGAAACGTAAGCTTTAAAACTCTTTACGGTGGCCAATTTACGTTATCAACTGAGTTGATAATACATTATTACCCTGTAATACTCTCCCACCGATGCAGCAACACAGTTTCTTTAGAAACTTACCCCCATTTCCCCCTAAAAAATAATGAAACGTACCTTTGCTTATGTTCACAGCATGTAGTAATTTGTTGAGTCCTAGCTGGAAATGATCACCCACGAGCTCGAGGGACTGTACTTGATCACCCAAGAGGGGCTTTACTTGCCAGTATCCTGGAAAGGGTCACAAGTCACAATGTAAGTACTCTGAACACTTGAGAGCTCTCTGTTGGGTTAGTGGAAAGCTGCATTCGGGAACATTGTGAGTAACCGGGCTTATCAAGGAACCAAAGATTATTAGATAAAGTAATCTAATCTAAAAGAAACAAAAAAATTGGAAACTAGCCTGATGAAGAAGAGCCTAACACCTTTTCCTCCTCACCGCTTACAAGTGGTTGTAGCTGAAGAGATGTTACAGCTTCGTAAAGTAACTCGGTTGACGTCTCCTCGTCTTCATCTACGATACAAATTACATAACGATAAATGCAAAGTATTATATGAATGATTTAGTGAAGCCTGGAGATACAGAACAACACAAGGGAGCGCAGAAAGTAATACCACTGATAATTGAGACAGATTGATCATCGAAGGTAATTAAGATATGAAAACGGTTACCTTTCAAGATGGCTTGAAGTGTCTCTTTACGTTGACAAGTCACCACCTGTTGGTGAGTAGGGTGAGTCGTTAATAATAACCAAGGGTATTTTAAAGGAATTGCGCGTAATCAGCATGAATAAATCTAAGCGAGGAATAGCTCAAGACATTTAGTTAGTCTTGTATCTCATGGGACACAAAACCAACTGATTTTCTAAGAACCAGCTATTAAGAAACTTGATTGACTTTCTCGAGGGGTCACTTGTTTGTTTCGAAGTTTTGCCGTCCAAACTTGAGAGTTATTATACATTATAACAACTTCTTTCTTTAGGCTGGAAAACGTACGCATGTTAAGTTTTGAATTACGATTAAAATTAAAAATGTAATTACCCTCACATGCCTGTAAGATAAATCTGGCTATTAATGTAAAAGATAACGAAACCATCTTTCTGACCTTTTCCTCACTGGGAGAAGTCCAGGGAGCAAAATCCTCAGCCTGGATTCGGTTATCCCGAGCGGTTGCAGATTTTGTGCAAAAAACCTGTGCCGTTTCATTTCCTAAATCTGACTCTAAAATGAAGTGGAGGCATTCCTCTTGCTTACAATTTTCTTCATAATGTTGTGTGCAGAAGCTGACCACGCGTCCATGAGAACAAATCGGACATAGGAAACATACCTTACATACAACATTCTTCACCCAGAAGAACTTGTTCCTAACGCGATCTATCAACAAAGTTAGCTGGCTACGAAAAGCTTTAATTGAGGCCACATCAACCGCATTAATTTCACTATTTGCATTGAGGACAATAACCTCAATTGCAGAGGAGAGGCAAAGGAGAACAATCGAGAGGCCTTGGTTTGGGAAGATGAAAAATCTAGCAAAATTGTTATAAAATTGGGGTGGTGCTAAGGGAGGAAATTCTTTTCTACACCAAAGAAAGAATTCCAGCACAAATCGGGGAAATAAACCTGGAGGGACCTGACCAGCATCAAATTTAAGAAAAAGAGAGGGAAGTTGTGCAGATTCAACGAGATCACTAATCATTCTTGGCGGATGCGTCTGCATCATAGATGGCACCAGATAATGTTTGTTATACGAGTCTTGAGACGATGGCCAAGGGCATAACAAGCTGAATTTCTCCATAATTGCAATAAGGCTTTCGTGGGTTTCTGTCTGAGGAATCAAAGAATTCCAAACATGTTTGAGGAGCTTTTCTTCCAGGATTCCCTCTTTTTCCAGTTTCAACCAAAGATCAGCAAAGTTTTTCTCTTTCGAGTTATAGGGCCTGACAGTTATTACACTCTTGAATACGTCAATCAACCATTGGGTATCCAAAATAACTAAATCACTCAATTCCGGAGTGTCATCAAAGTGGATCAAAACTCGCAGATCGTGCAAAAAGTTTAACAGTGTTAATATCTCATTGTTTTTGTTTATGTTGCACACGTCGGAAGCAATCTTTTTCGCGGTTGCGAGGGATATGAATTTTTGACCATTTTCCTTGATCACACGAAGGGCATTTTCGTATTTCAACCACTTGATCGGAATAGCCTCATTTACATGTGGTAGCTCCTTAGCAACTTCATGTACCTTCTCCCGCAATCGCATGATCTCTTGACATTCGGATTCAGAGCCTGACTTGGTGTTATCAACACAAAACACGTCAAACAACTGGCCACCATATGGCTTGGTTTTCAAATCGCCAAAAATTTCTTTGGCAAGCGCAAAAGGATTGCGGTTACGATATGGTATGTCAGCATGAGTGCACACCAGGAAAACAACTGGAAGATTCTTTGGAAGCACCTCCTTGTCGGGGTTCAAATGTGGGCGATTACTCTGTTCCACTAAGGAGGCCAAAGAACTCATCCAAAACTCTAAGTAATCCAAATTCGTTTTCAGATTATATTTATCTTTAATTTCTCTATAAACTCCTTGCTTCACCAGGGGTATGGCTTGGTCGCTTGGATTCCTACTTAAGTCATACACCAAAAAGTAGATTGCTCTTCTTGTGAGAAAGAGTGGGTGTGTCACGTAATATACAGACTGTCCAGCAAAGTCCCACGTAATTGAGTAAATATCCTGGCTATCGTCTTCCAAATCATCTTGAAGGATCTGTTGAATTAACTCGGCAATGTCTTCAAATTCCGGCACTTTTCCTAACGTTCTGTTAAATACATCCTCTTCGTACTTTGTTGGAGGTAGATTACGTTCTTCTCTCGTTGGCAAAGAGGTTTCACCGTGCGAAGGATGAGTGTATGCTGGATTTGTACGTAACTCTGAAGGGTCCCTGTAACTTGTAATCTCACTGAGGTATCCTCCCTCTAAGGTGTTAATTTTTTCAAAGTCATAATGTTCTGAAATGATACTACCTGTTCCTGTAACTTCAGAAACGTTTTCTTTCGCCATTAATTTATCTACAATCCACCGAGCTGCATTATGCTCAAAAGAGATTGATGCCTCGTCAACTTTTCCGCCTCGGTCCTTTTCTCCTGTCATCCCTATTTCAGTGGTTACTTTAAATTCATAGGTATCGACATCGATGCCCACGGTGCTATCCTCATCCGGGTTGAAACAAATTCCTTTCAAGGACTTCTTCACGCTAGTCTTTCCTGACCGATCTTGTCCAACTAACATCAACGGTACTCTCTTCACACAGGTTTGACCTTCGGCCAGTGCATTGTTGTAGGCTTCTAAAGCTTGAGGACCACGAGCACGAATCTCTGGAGGAACTGTACCGTCCGACAATCGAGAAACGCATATCAATAAATCTCAACAATCAAAATCGAGTTAAAAGTGAATCAAACAAACAAGAAACAGGTAACACGTTAAAAAACAGAATCAAATAATCAACCAACCAATCGATTTTATTTTTAACGCAAACAGGGTGTATCTACTAATACATTAAATCGATTAGGTAATGGGGAAGAAATTAAAATTTGACGACTTTGTAAAGAGGCATGTATAAGCGTTCTGTTACTTGAATTGGCAATATGTATAGAAAACATACCCATTTTAAAGTGTTCTTCATCAATACCTCTTAACTTCTAATAAATTGGTTAAATTTATCTGACGTTGGCATAAGAAAATGCGGTAGGGATAACAACAAAGTACACAAAGGATGTGTTTCCTCACCTGTTCTTGTGGATCCATTTCCTTTCATCTCCCGTACAACAAAGTCTTGAATTTCCTTTACAAACTGAATAAATTCTGGTAGTTTCTGAACTATGATTTCTGGTTGCCAATCTGTGCCACTTAGAAGTTTGTCGCACTCTTCGCTATGTAAGTGGAGGTCAGTCTGCTCATTTCCACAAGAAAAAGAGAGAATTAGAAATACTGGATATTGAGTTGCTTTGCTCAACATACCGATCATTTTTTATACAACTATGCGATTTACAACCGTTAAACATTCATTATTACCGATTCTCTGCTTGTTTCATTCCCTAATGAGTCGATGGACCATGAATCCTCTTGAGAAAGTATGGCAAAGAATCCAGCACGCGTGCTGTACATTTTTCGCTTGCAACATCGCTTATGGAGTAAGTGGAATCCTTCGGGGAAATCGTGATCTGGAAGAAGTAATCCGAAGGCATCCTTATCCGTCAAAGTTAATCGAGAAAGGTATGTAGACAAAGCACGTCTCACTTCGATTTCGGGTACGTCTCCTCTGATAGCAGTACGATCTGAAGCAAGACAAATTTTATATAAAAGTGTTAACTGGAATCAATAAACTTGACCTAGTTTAGTGAAATACTTATATTGAACCGATGCATGTTTAAATCCCATAAACTGTGCTGCAAGCACTTTATGATTTAGCAAAGCTCTTACTTGGACTTGGGTATCCATAGGGGTAAATGGACCCTCCAGCCAGGATAGGCGGAGACTTTACTTTCCAACCATAAGGGGAATTTGCAAAAGCTGATTGAACGGAAAGTATAAAGATGACGTTGTTGATCTTTCTTCTTTAAGAGAAATTAAGCAACAGAAATGATGTTTTACTGAAAATTTAGTAGGGGATGGGTGAGAGAGGAGAGGAGAGAAGAAGGGGGGGAATAAGTGAAGAGTGAAAAATGACACGAGGAGAAGCGCGTTTCATAAAGACAAAGACCAAACAAAAATTGTTATTCTTGCCTCTTCGCTCACGCATGGTGAACCTGCAGTCTAGCTCGCAGCCAGGGAAAAGAATGTCGGTCTGTAGATATTTTCGAGATTTAAGAACCAGCCATCCACGACAGCGTGATTGTGTCGTTTCATCTTCAAATTGAATCTCTTCCAATACATTCTTTACGTCACTAAAAGGGATTGGTATATCGTCCAGCTTTTTCTTTACGCTACTCTTTGCCACCCACACCTGTTTAATAAGAAAAGAAAAACACAGCACGTGAAGCATGAGCCACTGCCTGGCTAGTTGTCATAACGTTATGAGTTCACTTTTTGGCAAACGACGCACTTTGGAAGAGTTTATGTACGTCGACAAAACGGAGCGAAACCTCATCAAAGGGGAATTTCTTTTTTGATATACCCATGTACCACGGAGGGGAATAAAAGTAATTAAACGCAAACAATATTCAAAGTGAAAAAGAAACAGATGAGCGTAACGCACTCGTCGGTTATAACACGTAAAGAGGAACAAATTGTTCACTCTCACCTTACATCTAAGTTGATAAAAACAAGGCGTCAAATATGTTAGGTCATATCTGGAAATGTATTCATTATCTTCAGTTATCTCTTTGAGTCCAGTTCTTTTAAAGATGTCCTCAGGAATATCATCTCGCTCTCTAAAAGAAACTTTCCAAAACATTTTTTCTCCAGTATCAGGCCTTTGAAAACGTTCTGTTATCTCTTCGATGTCCCACGTTTTTTGGACAACATCCTCTGAAGACAAAAAGAAACAAACGAGAATGGACATACAGATTATAAATATGCTGAAATATTGCTAAGATTGTACCTCTCTAAGAGGTACGTCAGGTTGGCGAGCAAGGTGAATTATGACTTAGAACAATTTTTTTTATGCGAAGCTAAGTACAAGAAGGAAAAAGACGCGATGAAACACCTTGGGGAGGACAAAAGAGAAACAGCGAAGTAAGATCCACGAGAAAAAGAATTTGAAAGGAGCATGAAAATTTTCAACTAGTAGGACACTTAATTCAATTATTATTCATCAATGCAAAATATTCAAACCATAATGAATATTACCCTCATCAGGTACTCTAATAATAGAAGTTCCCAAATGACACCACATATCGGCCTTCGGACTCTCATCTGTCTCTCTGTTCTCTTTAATCTTGCGTAAGGACATCAAAACTTCGTCTTTAAGATTGGATTGGTACACGGGGTCATTTCGGTGATGGTACGAATTCTGTCCAGATACTCATATAAGTATTGTATTAAGATTGCAGCCATAAGAATTCTAGTTCTCTAGTCAAAAATGTAGCGACGACTAAAAGCAGATGGGCTTCTAATGAAACATGAAAAATATGTGGAGAGATGTTCAAATTTTGTCAAAAGCGACGGAGAAATAAAACGTTTGGGTCACCCGTAAGTACTCAAACCACAGAAAGGTCGTCAAAGAATGCTTGATCACGGTGTGTACGAGCTCATATATTCTGAAGTGGAATTCAACCAAGCTTAAAATTATAAAAATGTATCAGTTGTCAAATGTGTTCATTTCTTTTTTAATAATACAATTTGACAAACAAGGCCCATCACTGTGGAAATGCAACTTGAAACCTAGCTAAATTTGAAGGATTTGTCGCAGGCCGATGTCTTTGACAGCGCTGTCTTTGAGACTATTTTTAAACGCATTATCACGACGCAACACAATGCATTCAAAACTCTTGTTCATCACCAATAATGAAGAAGAATGTGTTGACCCGTTGACTCGTGTATATTACCATAGCAAAATGAAACCAAGGAGAATACCTCTCTTTCGCAGTGTTCAGCTGGTTCGAGTCGATATTGCGTTTGAAGTCCTGGTAACGGCATGCGATCCTCTACTTGCATCTCTTCAAGCTTAAGTTTACAGTTCTCAGGAAGATGACAACCATCGACGTAAGAACAAACTTTGTAAAATTCTTTTTCAAAATCCGTCAGTCTTGCTACAGCCTGGAAGTTTTAAAGGCAACGTAATCAAAAGAAAGATGGTTTTATCGTACACAACACATCACCAATTAATGGTTTAAGCCACACAAATCTAGAAGTCAGGTCGCAGTGGTTCTGGGGCATTCAAAACGAACAAATCTCGATGAATTGCATTCAGGGGCTATTAGAGACTCTACTAAGTTAGTAAGCTATAATTTTCAGATGGATGGCGATGGGGTAGGTCGACTAAACTTATCAAATATCAATGATACCACGGACGAGTTTGTAAGATATCTCGTTAATAGTAACGTGTTGATTATCTATCAAGAAAGCCAGACTGCATCTGCGCAATCTCCAGTCTTCCTGTCGGCTGAGTGTGGGTAGTTACTATCAAAAAATGTATCATCGGTATCTACACAACTTATATTCGTGTTATCTTCACAAATATGCTGTACCTAATCTGAGAAAAATCAATAGTGCAACGCTTTCGTTCTGTTCAAATCTTATGCCAGCTAAATCTGAATTTTAGTGGTCAATTTGTAAATTTAAACATACCACAATTGTTCCAATGTTCCTTTTCGCATGTCGCCGTTGCTGTTGTGTTCCACGGACTATATATACTTCTCCATCCTTCACGAAAAGTTTTACCCCCGTTTGGTTCTCTATCTCGCGTAAAGTAGCTCTATGTTTTCCAATCACTCTGCCTTTGTATCTGTCTGGAATTTCTACCAGTTCTTCCCATTTATTTTCCAACTCCTCCTATTAAAAGGAGCCGATGGTCAATTCAGTCCCTATGCTATACATCAAAGAGTTTTGAGTAAGCAATTCTATTGTTGGCATCATTTGCTTTTTAATACTTGATGGGAGCACGTCTCTCTCCGAACACTGAGGGTGAACATGAGGGTGTTAAGACTTGCTTTGCTTTGGTTAGTATCCTTTAAAACCCTGAAAGTTCGTCATCTCCCGCAATATAATATAACGTTAATCTTAAAATTACCAAATTTGAAACTAACCAATTTTTCTGAAATAAACTGCTTTGCCATTTCTATTTCCTGCGGGCGTCCACTGACTATAAACCCTGCATGGTGTCTACTCCCAGGTTCAATGGTGGCTCCAGATATCGCCATCATTTCATTTATCACACTATGACGCCTACCGATGACATGGGCTTTCAAATCTATTGGAACTGGTACAAATTCCCATTCCATTGCCCCAGTGTTTACCTCCTCAGTATGAGCTAGATACGAATGAGAAGAACAAAGTAACTGTAATAAAATAATATCGTCACCTTCTCTTATTAAGATCAATACATTTTGTTGCCTAGTATTGATGGCTTTCCACCTGGTCATCATCTTTTTTTTACTACATATTAAAACACTAAATAGCACCATACCATTACAATGCAACACAAAAACAACTAATAAAAAAAAGTAATAAAAAAATTAAACTGAGAACTTACACAACTTAGTACTTCATTCTCATGTTCACTGTTAATTTCATCTATCCTATAATATGAAAGAGACGTTTTTGTTAATGCGAGACGCGTTAAGGTGACCCTGATTTGAATGACGTCAAATTGCACAAAAATGCATTGGCTGGACTCATAGCGGAGCTCCCAGCATAGTAGTAACCCACCAAACCCAGAAAATTTAGTTTGGTGTTCGACCCAATCTCGAGCCCAAGGTCATTTTGGCTCCTTGTCAGCGGTATGGTCGCCAAATAATGACTTACAGCTGGTTTATGTAAGCATTATTTTTTCACAATTACAATACACGTATGTCATTCAAAATTCCAGGTCAATATATTTTTGTCTAACCTACTATGCAGAAACATTCAACAGAGTTTGATTCATTCAAAATGAAAATATTTACCAATACATGGAGAGTTACATTCTGTTTTATATTTAGCTGAAAGAACATGCAAATACTGAGTTAAAAAAAGATGAAGTATATATGCTGTGTGTTGGATTGCAGACAAGCCTTTCAGGTGCAAAAGCAAAACTAACTAGGTTGCCACCTACTTGTATTGTCAAAGCTTGTGTCAAAAATCAGTTTCTAGAGGATATTGATGAACAGTGCAGAGGCCTATGTGTACAGGAACTTAAAAAACGATCAACCCCTAGCTTGATTTATCAAACTGAATCGTGTAAAAGAAAGAAGCTAGATCAAACTCAAGGCTTGTGATGTTTTCAAGGTTCAAATAATATTATTGCTTCTCTTTTTCTCCTGATCTTTAGGAGGAATGTGGGTATCTGATTCATATGCATGTGTTTTCAGTAAACTCACGGTCAAGTAATAGTCTCAAAATGTTGTGAAATATAACACATCAAGTAAAAATTTTTATTTCTGCTTTTTCCAAGTTATTTTGGAAAAAAACATAGTACAATAGTTGTTAAATGATTTTACTCTCACTTGAAATAATAACAAAATACATCAAAGGGTCAAAAGATAATTTGTCAAACAGGAAAAAATATCAAAGCAGTATCAAAAGAAACTTGCTTGGCATATTTTCATTAAGTACCGGAAGATCAAGGAAAAGTTGGGAAGTTGTCGTTTATTAGGGACGACAAAGTGGGTGTTATAATAGGAGTTTCAAATCATTGCTGTTTCATTACTAACCAAAACATCTTTTTTTTGTAGTCATCCCGGCTCAACTGCATTCACCTGTATAATCATCAACTTTTGCATCAGGATTAGAAGCAGGAGGACTTCTCTGGAATCTAAACCAATCGCTTCTAGAGTTTGCCGTTTTTCCCTTTTCATTTCCTCAAGCCCAATTCCCTTAGAGAAGATGAAACTGCTCTCTCAAAGTCCATCTCTACTAACAACTAGATTGCAATCGATTCACCCGGCGCGGGAACCTGAAAACAGCGTGAAAGCTGCGTAAAAGGCCATCAGTTATCCCTTTTTCTTTCACTTCCAAACTTCCAGGAACACTAGATGGCATGGAAGAAATTTCGGTATTTTCTTCTGGTTTTTAAATTAATTTCACTTTCGATTAGTTACGATGATTTTTAAGTTCACGTACATAAAAGTAATTTGCGTTCTTCTCTTCTCCCGCTGGCGTAGCGGACCGTGTGCTATATTGTCTCGGGTTTTATACATGTCGGTAAGCACTTGGCTAGCATAACTAATCGTTGCTTACAGTTTTCGAATTCAAGAGCAGTTTTTAGAATTCATAAGTCTGTAACTTTGCATAATATCTTCTGTTGAATTCTTTGAGTAACACCCTCGGAATTTCATAAGTGATTATTAAGGATATATTCGTATCGGCACCATCATTATAGCTCAGTTTACAATTCGAATTTACAATTTAAAATTTAGGAAACTATAGTTTATTTATTGTTGACTCTTGATTGTTTGGCATTACTTGTTGATTATTTGATTATTTTGTAGCCTCTGACGCCACTTATGGCTCTGGAGTTACTGAACTTGATATATTTGATATCCTTCAAGGGGTAAGGATTGAATAAAATCGCTTACACGGTCGTAAATTGCACCCAGTTTACATATGTATATAATTGTATATATAATTCCTCTTATAGCCGTATTCAAAAGCATAGACATGTGGGTGATATGCTTCCGCTTTATTTAATTGAGATGTTTCATTTTATGTTACATATATCCTTTGATCTCCTCCCTAACCTGCTAGCAAATTAGTTAAATTTTGTTATAATTTATGTGTGAGAAGATAGAAGTGAAGTTTTGCAGAGTTCACTTTCCAATTGAATTCAGGTGAGCAGTGTAGGCGCAAGAATGTATTTTTTGTTTCATAGTTTCGTGTCAGGTGTTCAGTTTTTCGTCTTCAGGTTTGTACTTGTTATATTTATTTGCATATCGTACATATTCTGTTCGCGTGTAATTTATTTCGTTAGTTGTCTTTTCTAGTTTGCGGAACATATCGTCTAGTTGCTTCGGGTTTCATCTTTGTAAGTTATTTTATGCTCATTCGTGTGTTTGCAATTTTGTTATTTCCAGTTACCGTGTTCAGCAATGTGTTATGACAGCGTGTTCTACAGATTGATTTTCTTAATTTGTTCAGTTGGATACGAGTTATTGGCGTTTGCGGCTATAAGCAGGTGTCAGTAAACTATTTCATTTCACGTACATTTCCAGAAACTGTAATTTAATTGCCCTGGTTTTTATTACAAAGCCTCTTTTATATCTCTGTGTATGCCAGCCAATAATAAACATCTCGGTGAATAGATATGCCATATTTTAGTAGTTTTTTTAATTTCTTCTTTAAGTTTTTGGAATTTACTCTTTGCAAATTCCTAAATGGCATTGCTTTTTCATCCTTGTAAAGAGATCTTACACATTTCTTTATTTAAAATATGAATTATGAAGTCAACCTAATTTCAATGAGTTTCAAACTTAACTCTACACAAGAACACTTTACTAGAACATAATGTTTCATTTATTTGGTTTCTCTTGTATGCAAGTAGTAATGACAAATGCACGAACAGATGCCCATGTGCATATCAACTCCATGAGGTAACAAAACGTCATCATATAACACTGTCTTTCTCATATATATGCCAAATGATGTCTTAAATTGTATAAATGGGGATTTATTTATATTTTAATGATAAAAATATACTTATGCTTTCAAATGTAAAAGAATATAGTGAAAATATAATAATATGTAAAATTACAAAGGTTGTAGCAGGCAAGTAAGTAACCTGACTTCCTTTGGTTACTGAGAATTGTATGATTATATAACTTTGCTGTAGTTACCATGTTGTAGCATGTAATGTTATTTAGATTGCATTAAATACTATTACTCAAGCTTTCAATAGTGTATGGTGTTCTTAAAAATGCTCATACCCAAACTAAACATGGATATAAGGAATTGGTCACAAGATATGTGAGTTTTAAATGGTGAGAATCTAGAAAAGTAAGGATCCTCCTTTAATTTGAAACTTTGGACTAAAATTAACCTGCCTCCACCTCTTTTCTGTTTTAGGGCACATAGATGATTACCTCATTTGCATTTTGACACATGGAAGCCCAATTCCACACAATTTCTGACTTTTTTGTTCCCAGAAAACAACTAAGATAAATAAGAATTGTTCAAAAATCGTAGCAGACCCCTTCTAGTTGCTTCTATTTTTATAATTTAATGCTAAAAAATATGTATCATAGGGACTTTACATTAATTGACATCCACGTACTGTAATGTGTAAGGTGAGAATATAAGTGCCTCAGCCTTATAGGTTAAAAACTCAAAATAATAGAATTGTGCATACCATATCCTACTTTATATCCTCCTCTGGATATTTGCACAAATAACCTAATTATTGTCAGTTTCATTCACTCTCACTGTCCACTTTGCTTTTGGAAAGGTGGTAACCTCCATAGACCCAGGGCTATGGTATATTACCAATTTTTGCTCGTTATTTTCTTGTAAATGAAAGTCACTTTTTAGGTTATGGGTATTAACTTGGTTTAATTTGTACATGAAGGTTATCAATCTAAGAAGGCTGACATTTAAAAATTATATTTGTAAAAATGTCTTACTGATGCCTTTGCAAGAAAGTTTGACTCAATTTTACCTGACTAACCTAAACTGAATAAAGAGAAACTCGAAATTTATTTATTCTCCTTTTGAGGTGTGCATCAAGTTAACAACAGGTCTCTTTAATTTTTTCATAATTACTTGAAATCTTGCAGATCTATGGCAAATTAATTTCTCGTCTGACCCTATTATATTAACATTTTATTATGTGCAGGGATTGGTATTTGCTATAAATGTATAGTCAATTAAACTTTTTTGCACAGCCTATGCATCAAATTTATGTTAATATTGTATACTTCTTGAAACTAGTTTATCAAAATAAGAATGAGTTACTTAGCACAAGTATGGCTTTTCACAATGATAGTTTCAAGGCATAAAAAAGCCTGCTTTAATCCTCAGTACCTTGCCCTGACAGCCTAATCTCATTAAAAAGTCAGCAACAGTAGGTGTCGTTTACAAGATCCCATGCGAATGCGGCAAAGTGTTTATCAACAGACAAATAAGCAACTATAAAATAAGAAAATCAGTGAAACTGGGAGATCAATGTGAAAAAGGATAAAAAAACATGACAGAGACATACGATTGCTCGTACTCAAACCTCTGCAGTTCCGGAGCACGCTAACGAAACGGGGCATATTCCTATTTGGATCAAGATTAAGTTTATTGATCGTGACCCCCACTGGTACACACG